CCCTGTCATCCGATTAACCAAATGGTTTTAAACTTAGTCCCTTCCACGAGATAGGGAATACGGCAAGCTTTCTTAAATAAATCGTATTTTGCATGAAAAGTATCATAATTTAGTTAATATCGAATGTTGCACTGTTTGGCAGTGCATTTAAAAAAATTCAATTTATTGATAGCTTTCGTATTTACCCAGGATTTATGTTTGATCCGTCAGAAAGCCTTCTTAATGTAATGTACGACATAGATAACTGTAAATGCATTTAATATGAATAAGATGGGTATACACAGTTTCTGTAGTTGGATGTTTCTGTCCTCTCATTCAGGAGAAAACAAACGGAGGAAATTATGCGGACTTGTGAGCTTCTTGGATAGCGAATTAAATGAGATCTGTCGAGATAAATGGTGATTTACCAAGAGAAAGAAGCTTTTATCCAGCGTCCGATACACTACTTCCACCTCGTCCCCACTTTTACTCATGCTGATGCTCATCCTGTCTGGCTATTCTCCGTCTCTTGCTTTCTCGGCTAGTCTGCCCCTCGCTCGGCTCCCACCTTAATGTGCATGCAGGTAGTTAATGGTTCGTGTGAACGAAGCTTAAATTCTGACAATTGTCGGACACAAAACTTCAAAGTACAGCTTTGCATAGCCCGAACCAGGATTTACAAATATTATAAACCCATGTTTGTCAGGAATTTTCTATCAAAAATGGAAGATACGAATAATAAAATTTTATGCTACTATTGTGCACTAATTTTTGCACTAATCAGCGTATTACTTGGGACACAAGGCTCCAAATATTCGAAATCTTTCACCTTGACGGATGAGAGAGGTCGGCCCTACAAAAATTTTGAATTTCCAAGTTATTGCTTGACTCCGCACTAAATTGTAGTTGAACACAGATATATCGACTTTAGAAATCGTTGTATCTAATTTCAGCCTTCTATGACTATTTATTTCGAATATTTAGCACCATAATCCTTTCCACACACCAATAATATGACCCCCACTGGTCCAAGTAGTTTTTTTATCGAACCCATCTTCGAACTGTCTTGCATTCCGCAGATGCATGTTTCTGCTCTATTTGTTCAAAATCGGTCAACGCGTTCTACAATTATCGAAACACAGACTAACAGACGGACGGACATGACGATTGCATAAACCCTGGCTCGGGCTAAAAATGTAAAAATATAAATGTTATGTACACTGTTTGCAATCCGTATTTAAAATATTTTTGCGAAAACTTGCAAAGTTTTTACATGCTCTCGCCTTTGTCCTTTCCTTAAAGTTTGAGATTAGTTCTAATGTTACACAACATGTTTTCTGGTCAGATAACGTTCCTTGTGCTGTCTTTCATCTTGTGCAGCCAGCAACCGTGTTAAGACATCAAAATGTATTTCATTTAAAACAAAAAGATGCAATGGTTCCATAAGGATATTTTTATTGAACATTTCGAGATAGAATCCAATCATAAATTCCAATATTATATTTTTGGAGGCTCACGGTTAGCTTTTTTATTAAGCCATCAGCCACATACTCTTGTTTCAACATATTATACGCATGCTGGATGGATGTAGAAAAAGATGAAGTAATAAATACAATCTAGAGTCCATCTCATGGCATTTTCATGATCCTCCTCAAAGTCATTTTACCACGTCAAATAAGAAAGTCTTCATTGCTTTCCTTTGTGGATTTGCTTGTTGCTCAAAGTTGAGCTGGTTTATACCAAATCAAGTGAAATGTCTTTTCGACTTCATCCACATTTCGGCTGCGTTGATGGCTCGCTGATGTACTTCCTTCCCCCTCAAAAACATAAAACGTATTTTCACTGGACGCTTAAAGGCGATATGGTATCATTTCTCTCAATCCGACAATAATGAAAACCGTTATGACACAATTCACACACTTAGCCTTCTCCCCAGCAGAGGATGTTGAATTGAAATAGCCAAATAAAGTTTACCCGACTTTAGTGAACGTACATACCAAATGCATGAGCTTCTATCCGTCCCAAGCACATGCGAGACATGGGTGAGACACATTGTTGGACAATTGGCATTTTTAACCTAAAAGCTTGATTAACGAAAAATTGGCAATATCAACCCCAGCGAGACTTTTTGAAGACAAAGTTTGGTCATTTCATCATATGGCTGCTTTTATGAGGAACATAGTTCTCATTATTGTAGCGCTGCTTTACTTGTTTCCAGTGTCTGCTAAAGGTTGGATATTGTGGCAAAAGGAGTAGACATGCAGCAGGGGAGAGAGTAAGAGGAACTGGATGAGACAGGGTCGGTGGTCGACCGCCGGAAATTATAGTTCACATTCGCCACTGCTGCCGGACTATATGACAATCTTTTGATCTCATGATCTCAAGACTTGTCTCTTAAATTGAACGAAAATGAAATTCCGCTAACTTGGGGTCATGTTACGCTCAGAATTTCAAAAGGTTTTTTTTTCGAACATATTGCACTGCAGCTTTTATCTGACCCTTCCTTCTACGTTGAGAAGCTGTAGTATTCTTTTACTTGAAACTCTTGTGTGAAATAAATGTCCGATTTAACCACGAAAGTTATAATCAGGAAAATATGTCAATGAAAATTTAAACATGTATGAAACATATACTTTTCGTTCTTACTCAAAGAGAGAAAGCTCAAATAGGTGAACACATTGCCTGATATATAAATACATGCGTAAAAATGAAGGACTGTTGAGTGTGTTTTGCACATATAGCATAAAGAGCGCAAAATCGAGTATGTGTTACTTATGTATTTGAAACCAGTATATCGCAACGGTCACAAACAATTTGCCAAAGCATCTCGTACTAACATGTCGACGAGAAACGGCAAGAATATTTTTATAAAGCTGGTAATGGATTAAACGGAGAAATGTACACAAAGCAGATGTCAATATAAGTCTACGTACATCGCCAAAACACAACTGATATTAGTTCAGCTATTCCGTTTTCACTCCATTTCACAAGAGTATCCTGTCCAACCCAGTGCACACTCTGAAAGAACGTGCATTTTGCTTTCACTTTACGCTCTCAGCAATCATGGCAGCAGAAAATTTCCTTTCAACCAGTGTCCACTCAAACGAACAATGTATAATTTTCTGCAATTGGTGGGTTTCAACTCCATATTTTGGCTATTGTTATTCCTGTTAACTTTTTTTGTGCCATGAGCCTGTCTACATTCACAAAGTAAATATGTACATATTCATCCTTTAAAAAAGTAACAATTCTGCTTGAAGATTATTTTGTCCTTCTGTTTCATTAGTTTTATTCGTAAAATATTATTATTTACTAATATCCTGATTTTAATCTTGCATTTCCCATCTATGTTGAAGAACCAACAAGCGTCTATTTGATTTTGAATATGGAAGACGTTTTATATGCATACATCTGAGCACTTAACTAAAAATACTCGTATCCTATATTATATCTACTTCTCATCCTGAACGACTGAGAGAAGACATGGTGCTCAGTAGAATTTGCTAATGAAAACTGGACAAAAGCGTTGTGCACATAATACGAGGAGACTCTGAAGTATTAACTATGATGGATGATAGAGAAAAGAGCGGAGGAGATGGATTATTGTTTTACGGAGGGCTTCCGTTTTTTTCTCCCTTCAGACATTCGAAGCGCCCATATAACGCCAAAAGACCGGTCTCATTTGTCGATTGAATGAGAGAAAGACTTTCTCTTTCTCATTGCTTGATCAGTATTCAGAGTCCACGTTCAGCCTCGACAAGAGACGGAATCAGTCCCCCACCAGCAGCCACCAATGCTGTCTAAACATACTCTACTTTCGCAAATAAATCTCATTCCAACGTTCTCTAAATGGATCTATAGAGAAGACATGGATTTTATGTAATATTCAACATTGTGCAAAGGATGGAAATTGCAAAGTCTTGTATTATTAGTTCCATTCTCATTGAATTTGTAGGCTTTCTCGCCTTTCCCCAGAAATGAAAGTGAATTTTGGAGTGGATGAATAAAAATTTGGCATGTGGGTCAGGCAAGTTGGAAGCCCGTGCAATCAACTTGGTCATTATTTTCTTTAGCTTGGCTGTGGGTCAAGTCTTTCTAAGTAGTTGAGGTGAAAAAGGAAAGAAAAGGATAAATTACCCAAGATCCGTCCTGCCTTCCTCCGACATCTGACATCCAGCCACCCCGAATGCATGTACATATGGACCACCAACCACGCAATCCAACATCTTGAAACATTTGAGACGATTACTTTTGTACGGAGAAAGTACTCCTCCTCGGTTGATTGGCTAGTTGTTACCTTTCCAAAACACACAGACTTTGCAGAAAAAATTCTGTTCCTGCCCCAAAATTTAGAATTTTGGGGCATACCTTTCTCGCTTTCACCTAAATTTTCTTCTAGAAAACAGTTAACGCTTGGAATGAAAATGGATGGATGTGAAAAAGAAATTGGTGGAATGGGATAGAAAAAGGTAATCCACTATTTAATTCACCACGAAGGTCCCTTCTAGCCCCGTGCAGATGGGGAAAGTTAGGGTAAGGTTAGGTTCGTTCTCTGTAAAAATGAGGTTTAAAATGGCTTAACTCTGGAACCCGTCGCGTGGTGCTAGGCAGTGGCTGTCGACTGGGTTACACGCGCCGTAAATCTCAATAACTGTGGACATCCACCAATTCGTCTTCATTACTCCAGGATTAACGAGTAAGCACTGTAATATTCAGTGCACATCATCGTCATCATGAGCCAAGATTTAAGCATCATCGTGTTTTAACAGCCAGAACGTACAGTGAAACACACCTGCAATAAAATAGGCAGCTGGTAAGATCATGAAAGTACGTTTTTTGTAATCTCTGCAATGTCACAAAGCTCTAGTTACGATCAAGTTTATAAAAAAATTACGCAGCTGATCATTTCTTCATTGTTCCAAATCTATTTATCTTCGTATGTATGATACCAGATAATGTCATTCCGTTATGTACAATGCGAAATTATAGTTATAAATAATTTTAAACAATTTTTGTTTCAGGTGCATGGAAGATATAAATAATTCAAGAGTATCAAGAGAGCAATGAGACAGAGAAATTGCAACATTTGTTTTTCAAGTCATGGAACTATTTCGTCTTCTTTTGAAGTCATATCATAAAGATTTATCAAAGGAGTTCTCCGGTGGCCGTTGTCTACAAGTGAACCTTGGAGCTGCGATTTATATGCACAATTACGAATAACGCAGTACCTGATTTGATGATGGACGACTCTGGATTTTTTCAGAGTCAATCAAAGGGTCATCAATTAAGAAAATGGAGTAGGATGTTGACACTCATTGTTCTAACAGGTATGTGTTTTTTTTAATTGCAATGCTTGAAGTCATCCGTTTAGAGTGCTGCCGTGTTGTATAATTGTAACGAAGGGATGCCTCTTCTAAATAGTGTATCAATCCATAATAAAATATTAATATGCATAATAATTACTAATAATATTCTAAGTACATAAATATATTTACAACAATCTTAACTGAAAGCACAGTATCTATCTTGATAAATATCCATTTTTGTGGTTTTTATGTTGTGATTTTGGATTTTTCCACAGTTTTAAAGCTAGCAGGCTAAAATTTTGGATTCTGAATCATTTTGTAATATTAACGTAGATCATGGATTGCCGGATCCGAGTTTCCAAAACCCTTATGACCAAAGTTATAACCTCAAATTTGAGCATCATAGAAGTTTGAAGCATATGAAATTATTGATTAGAATTTGCAAACTGACGCATTACAAATATTTTTATCCGCGTCGGTATGCATGTTTTATGCTTTAAGAGTATTCAAATCGGTTGGGAAATGGAAATGCCAGAGTTACTGAATTTTAAGAAGTATAATTTTGACGTGAATTTTTGTATAAGCGTGATGGAGATGTATTTGTAAGTAAGGTTCTAATAGCAGCAGTTAAGCCTATAAATACCGAATTTATTTCGTTCCTTCAATTGCATCCTCATCACCGAAGTATTACGATTTTTCGGATTTAATTTTTCGTTTATTTAGAAATATTTTATTTCTGTTAAAAACTCATTTAACATTTACATACATTGAAACTAAGATTTGCGTAATAAGTATATTACCTGGAGCATGTTCTTTCTATTGTAAACGTAAACGTTGCTTAAGATCTACTTTCACTTTTCACCAAAATTGCCACGAATTTTTTGGGAAATATTACTAGAATTAGGATGTATCTGTATGCATCATATAGTTGATGTAAAGTTATTAAAATCTTTATACGGAGACAGACTCTAGAAGCAAATCTTGCCTTCCTATTCATTCTCTCGGGTTATTGACGCATATTGACCTGGTTGAAGAAACACGTAATTAGCGATGTGAAAGTAGTACGATGGTTGCGGCAGTCAAGAAGGAAATGAAATCTTGAAACTAATATAATAGTGGTCTCCTCCGCCTCGTCTAATATTCGACCAAGGAGAATGAATTATCGCAGGAAAATTGCAAATTAAATTGCCGCCTGTCCTTCTTTCTTCTGGTCTTGTGGCTTTTGCACAATGAAATTGAATTAAACCAAGTAATTAAGAAATTTGGACAGGCTCTTAGAAGGAAATAATAATACATACATTTTAATATAGTCTTAAATTCCCGTATGCTATTTATTTCTCCAACTTCTTGATACTTTCTTACTTATCATTACAGTTGTCTGTTATACAAATGCAGACTTTCTTACTTATCATTACAGTTGTCTGTTATACAAATGCAGACTTTCTTACTTATCATTACAGTTGTCTGTTATACAAATGCAGACCTCCATTTTCAGTTCTAAATTGTCATCGTAAAAAGTTCTGCAACCATCAAAATTTGGCTTCCAGTACGGAGTTCCATCGAATTCTTGAATCATTCCGCGTTGCGCAACTGTTTTATCCAGAGATTTGATCGTGTAGCAAACCGGCCAGCCTACATAAAATATTGGACGAAAATACATGTCACTTGAAATTTGCTTATCAACACTGCAAACCGGACATGTAAGTGCGTAAGTAGAACGAAATGTTGTATGTTGTATAACTTACCCAGAACTCCCATTTTCTGCCGAATACTGTACTTCTTTTTGTCAGGCAGTTGGAAGCAGTCAGTTTCGCTCGAGTTAAGTGTGTCGCACACGTTGCAAAATAACTCGACTACGTTTATGATACAAATATTTTAAAATCAAAATTACAAGGTGTGTCAGTGGGAAAAGTATTCGTCACATACCAGTTTTACCATGATGACGACACAGAACAAAACTTTGATAAAATAGGAAAATTATCAAAAACAATACTGGAAATGAGTGATCCATTGTTTGGAATTCAAGAGGTGCCTTTTGCAAAAGTATTTGTCAGTTCTTTATAAAAATAATTCCACGAGTGGAATTACCCTTTAACTCTGTGATGTTCACTATGTGCAATCCTGAAACAAGAAATTTTTGGAACGCCTCCTCTAGAAAAATATTTGATCAAATTGATTGTAGATATGTGTATACCTTCGTTGCTAAGATTTCCAATTTATGATGATTGACCAATCAGTATCAATTTAGTACTTTATCATCCGATGCATGAAAAATTTGTATTGGTATAAACCCTTTTACGAAATTTAATCAAATCTTCAAAGAATGTACAAGGACATATTTATCAGTATTTCATTATAACATCTGTGTTGTTTTTCAAGGTTTTTATTTGGCAATTGGCTAGAAAATACAGTATGTTCCTTTTGTGTTCATGGATAGATTAGATTCAGGGTTTAAGTTGCTTAACATTGCTCCAAGGCATACATATGTGCATATGTGGTACTAAAGAGAGAGAGAAAGTGGAATATAGTGCCTTTTTCTTGTATGAACTGTCCTGCTCTTCAATTCAGACGGAGAAGTCCTGGAAGGCTCGATTAGACGAATTACTTTCCTTCAGCATCGGAGAGAGACACTGATTGATCGATGTGGGTGATCACACGTTTTTCCGGTACTCCATTCCTTCGAGTGGAATTTCATTCTAAAAGTCCAATATTTTCAAATTTATATTATGGTAAATACACACAAAGCTTCTTTGAAGAGAACAGAGTTATTCCTATCTCGTTTCACACTCTGCCAGATCACTTATTTCCTTGTCGAGCAGAGTACATTCTTTGACCAATCCATTATAGCGAGCAGGCTTTTCCGATTTCTCCGACACAATATGCTGTATCACTTCAAGAAAGTGTTCTCTTTCTCAATTCCCACAATTGTGCACTGCCCTGCGTATTGTACATACGTTTGTGTGTACATACATACTCGAGTATACGTATAGCATGTGGTGAGTCGAATTTGACAGATTTCTCCGATCACTGGCCAATGCTACGTATATGTATCTGGGTGGATAAAATCAACTAACAGTTCTTCCATTGATATGCAATCGTCTAAATACCTACGTAAAACCCCCCTGTTACATTTCTAACGTAAATTACTAGCACAATGTTCCACTATTATAGTACGTATGCAGATGAACTGAAAGGGTGTTAAGAACTCAATGCCAATCAAAGGATGCAATCACTATTAAATAAATATCACATCAATCACGTCACCCTTAACCGTATCAATACAATCTTGCAGTTTTCTGGAACAAATACATCAGCAACAACCTTTTTCTTAGCATGAAACGTGTAGCATAATTCCTACAAATTGCGAAATATGGAGGTGCACATTCCACAAAAAAAATTTGACGAATAGGAATATTGACAAAAATGCTGATATGGGGCGAAGCTCCACGCCAATTTTTTCTTAATTTATGAAATGACAGGAAAAATGCAAAAAATTATAAACATGGGCGAAGCTCCACGCCAATTTTTTCTTAATTTATGAAATGACTGGAAATTTGGTGAAAAAATCATTTATTATCAAATTTAATAAAAAAATTTAAGAAAAACAGTGTGGTTATGTAACGGAGATACACAAATTATACACTAATCCATGTTAACATCAGTATTATGTTTGGGCAGGGGGGGCATGACGAACCCTGGCTTCCATCCTGCAAATGGTGCCTTAAAAGCAGCAGACAAAGTCGTAGCAGCGCTAGTAGAAGAAGAGGCGGTAGTGGCAGCTTCGGCGGTAGCAGCAATAGCTTTGGCAGCAGCTGCGACGGCTGTATCGGCGTGCTTTTGCAGAACAGCTGCTTTTTTCTTCTTGGCTTCCTCTTCAGAAAATGGACAATTCCTGAATATCGAACAACATGTAAATTTGCGAACCAATTAGAGTAATTCATTATAACACTGGCGTTTTTTGCTTACTTGGCAAGATGACCACGCTCTTTACAAAGTGCGCATTTTCGCTTATCTGAAATGAAATACAACAAGTTATTCATATTAAAATCAAAAATAAAGAAGTAAAAACTCTTCTTATAAATACACAAATAATTCTTAATAAAAGAAATTTTACCTTTTTTGGTGACGCCACAACCACGACCGCCTCGGTCTCCACCTCCAAAAACGCCACGACCTCGTCCACGATCACCAAATCCACCAAATCCTCTGAATCCGCCACCACCTCGATCCCCACCAAATCCACGATCTCGACCGCCTCTAAATGATCCACCTCGACCACCACCATCGCCAAGGATCGCACGTCGAAGGCCGCCGGCTTGTCCTTTATAGTTCAGTTCTATGTAATCATCCATCTGAAACTGAACAAAAACGAGACCTAGTTTTATCCATTTGCTACCCTAGCTTTATTGCATAGTTTTAACGACTTACGACGAAGAAGAAGACACCACAAAACGAATACGAATCCGAAGCCTGCTGCTCTGAATAGGACTGCGATGATGTCGAATATTCAAGAATAATACTAAAATTAAATTCTTTGCTAACCTTGCTTTATTTGAATTCAACGAGAAAAAATAAAAAAAACGACTTACCTTGGACAACGTGTGACGAGATGACGGGGACGATTTGATGATGGCCACGAGAAATATGATGCGAAATATCTGTACAAAATTCACGAATAAATATTATTTTTATTTATCTACGACTTACAACTCGATTAATTGATAATTAATTACAAATTACCAGCGACGGCTGGCACAGCGGCATAAGTCGCTACTGGAGCAGCAATATTTCCAGCGCTTGCTGTAGCGATGAAATGCGAGAAGTCCGACAAACTGTGAACAACAAATTATTAGTATCACTAATAGTAGGTCCAACAACACACAAAAATTGATTTTTTTGGCTTTTCTACAAATAACAACAACGATTAATTGATAATTAATTACAAATTACCAGAAGTTTTCTTCCGGAGGAGAGAGAAACGTTCACCCTGTACGTGTGTTCAGAAGAAGTGAGTGAGTGAGCAGCAGTGGTGGTGGTGGCGGGCTCTGAAACTCGGAGTAACGTTTTTGCCACTGCTCCTGCCAGCACGGCTGCTCGCTCACTCACTTCTTCTGAACACACGTACAGGGTGAACGTTTCTCTCTCCTCCGGAAGAAAACTTCTGGTAATTTGTAATTAATTATCAATTAATCGTTGTTGTTATTTGTAGAAAAGCCAAAAAAATCAATTTTTGTGTGTTGTTGGACCTACTATTAGTGATACTAATAATTTGTTGTTCACAGTTTGTCGGACTTCTCGCATTTCATCGCTACAGCAAGCGCTGGAAATATTGCTGCTCCAGTAGCGACTTATGGCGCTAGCCGTCGCTTACACCCAACCCGCCATTGCGACTTACGCCCAACCCGCCATTGCGACTTACGCCCAACCAGCCATCGCCAAGGTAGCGTATCAACAACAAGTTTATCAGCCAACACAACAAGTCGTATTCTTTCGAGTTTTCGCATTTTTTCCTCAAGAGTACAGGTTAGAACGGTTTTTTCTGTCTATCTATCTGGATACTTAATAATATGTATAATTATTCATTATTTGTATTGTAGGATAACCATCGGGATTTGCCACCTGGATTTAATTTTAGTTATTTCTTATACATACATTATACATTAGTAATGTTTAACTGCTTTGTGCGGTATTAATAAATTACTGCTTTGTGCGGTATTAATATATTACTACTTTGTGTGGTATTAATAAATTACTGCTTTGTGCGGTTATTCATAAAGGAATTTGTTTCCTCAAAATGTCATTACCTAAAATAATGAAGTTGGACATTAATGATTCCGTTCTTCGTTATGACTCATGGAATGCTAACGGAATCGATGAGGTCAAAATTAAATGCATGATGCCTACTTGGACCGAGAGCGATTTAATTTTCATACAAGAGACGAAACTGAATTCATCTGAAGAGCCAAAAATTCAGGCTCTGGCTCTTAAGTATGGGTTTAACGCTAAATTCCACAGTGCACTGAAGGGTAAATATTCAGGGTACATGAGCTATGGAGTTTGTGTTTTTTACAAAAAGGATCTCGACGTAACCTATACGAATATGAGTAAAAGCTTTCCCGACATACCCACGCAAAATAAGGAAAGAATAATGATGATTAATGTAAGACATCCAGTAAATGAAAACAATCCAATTTATTTTGTTAATGTTTATCTCCCATGCTATCATAATGCTGATAGTGTAAGAGATACTGAACGGGAAAATTGGGTAACGACAATCGGTCAGTTATCCAATAAATTGAAAAATAGACATGCTGTCTGGATCGGTGATTTTAATATGATGAAGTTAAACACTGATTTAGTTCCAGCAATGACATCTTCGGATCCAAGATGTATATTTTATGACAAATGTATTGGCAAATTCACCGAATTTAAGTTTGGTAATGTGTGTAGCAAACTATGGCCAGAAACAATTTTCACCAGATATGCGTTTGGTTCCAGCAATACTTATAAATCCAGATTGGATTACGTAATAGTCTCTCAATCTATGAAGAACTTCAACCTGGTGGTCGAACCCAATTATGATGATGCAATCTTGTATCTTAGCGACCACATCAATTTAAAATGCATCATCCGTTGTGCATCGGATGAACACCCAAACATAAATCATGCCTCAAAAATTGAATGTCAGCTTCCTGATTTGATGCATCAAAGGATTTCAAATTGTCCGTATTGCACATTAGAGCTAAAATGTACTAGCTCTTCACAAATGAGGAGGCATATTATGATTCACACGAATGAAAAACCGTATAAATGCGAAAACCATTGTGGGTTTCGGACAAATCAAAAGGTAAACCTGTCTCAACACATTACGGTATGCAAAGGTTCTTTCGAAAGTCGCATCATGTATTGTCCTGATTGCCCGGCTTACACTCCAATTAATGAGCAATATATGCAACATATAAAAACCTGTGCAAAGAAAAGAGCAAAATTTAATCCTCTCGCAAAGTTTACTTGTTCCAAATGTTATTATAACACTGACCAACAATCAGCTTGGGTCAAACACCAGGAAAGTGAAGTACATAACGCTGCGCAAATATTGGTTTGGTATTTTTGCCTTCCATGCAATTACTGTACATACCAAGTACAAAAATTAAACGATCATAATGTAACTAATAAACACGCTCAAATGCTCCAATTGTAAAAACACTTGTTTTCCACCATATTTTATCTGGCTGTCGAGAAGAGGTTTTCCTTCTGCATGAATTTATGTTTTGTGGGATAGGGAACAAGACCACAAGGGTTCCATTTGCGACTTGAGGATAAATAAAAACGTTCAAATATGAATAAGAAGGATGTCTCGAAAGATGGAGAAAATCTCATGTGTGCTGCCTCAGCATTTTTCCCAATCCTCCATGAATCAATCTACTCCAAGGTAGACGCATGCATGCATTGGCGGAAAGAAGCTTGTTGGCTTTTCTCCTACTTCTTTTGTCTCGCACCTTTTTCATCGTCCCCTTGAAATCTCAATATGTCGCACCAACCAAGTGATTGGATATGCATAAATACATATACATATATTAGACAGAAGAAAAGTTGAAAGATGCCATGTTATAGCATCTTCAGAAATCTAATCCTCAACAAATTCGCGACAGGGCAGAAGAGTACAACGAAGCAAGCAAATTTATTTCGTGGAATAAATCTCAAAATGATGGATGAAGTTTTTTTAAACATGTCGATTGGGTTTTTAGGCCTTTTAAGATGGCCTTATAGATTTACCAAGATGTCTGTCTGTCCGTCCGTCTGTGCGTCCGTCTGTGCGCACGATAACTCTCTTTAAACAAAAGCTATCGACTTGAAATTTTGCACACTTCATCTTCGGGTCAAAAGTAAGGATGAGTTCGGAGATGGGCATGATCGGTCAAGTAATTGGCCGGTGGGGGTCATTTCCATCCAAATGCGTTGCCCTTAACTACCAAGAACCTTTAGAGCAGGTTAAATTATTTAAGTGTAAGTAAAATATTTGTAGCTTGAGAAATATCTATAGTAATAATTTTAAGTAATTTTAGTATGAAGATTGCGACTGACCTCAAAGCGTTTAAATTGGAGTGGAGTTTCAGAAATTTTAAACCTGGGAGACCCGATAGGGTGACCCGACGGATTTCTAAAATTTGTAGTAGGTAGTTGAAATTTGGAACAAAGGTTGCTAGTGGATTGTAACAGACAAAAATGAATTTAGGTTGGAAAAATTTTAATCTTGATGGACCCTATGGGGTGACCCATACTGATTTTTCAAAATCGTCATATCGAAGTGAAATTTGGGAGAGAGGTTGCAAATGGGTCTTAATGGAACAATATGAAATGAAATTGGTAAAATTTATATCTGATGCGGTTATCCATATCTATTTTTAGAATTTGCGTTAAAAACATGAAATCCGGCACGGTAATACTTACAATTAGTGGCTTCTCATCAAAGAATTTGAAATTAAAAGTTAGCTAACAAGGGATACTTTCGAGGTGATAGTCGTGTCCAGGGTACCACTCATTGGTCTAAATGTTTTTTGATCGAGTGTTTCTCACGGGTTCGGGTTCTTACTTCGGGTTTCGGGTTCGGATCGGGTTTGGGTCCTGCTTCGGATACGAAATTTTTGAACCCGAAACTTTCGGGTTCGGGTTCGGGTCCGAGAAATGTGATCCCAAAATTTCGGGTTCGGGTCGGGTTCGGGTTCCGACTAAGAACCCGAAACCCGAACCAACAAGAACTTTTTGCCACAACGAACACGAAAACATTAAAAAAGAAAATAAAGTGTTAACCAAACTTGCTACGACGGTTATGCTGCAGTAATTCATTAAATAATTCAAATTTTTAATTGTCGTAACTTCTTTTCACAAGTGTCTTCAATTAGTGTTATGGTTTGAATATTAAAATAAAATATATTTTTTATCAAAAATTTGCAAAATATTTAGCTTGAGCTTACTTTAATATTGGAAACTTGAAACTGAAAATCATTTTCAGTTTTCAACTGATTTAAAAATTTCTGAATGTCACGGAAAGCCATTATTCATGGTCGATTTTTTGAGATTGCATTATTATGGTCAAGGAATTAAGAGTTTATGTACTTATGCAGAAATGTGCTTAATTATAATTCCTCGGTCATATTTACAGAAGTATTGTTTGTTTGAAACCTTCCAAAGAATTTTTAGCTAAAAAGCCAGTCACCCCTTAAAGTTAAAATATATTCGGGTTTTTCGGGTTCGGGTTTCGGATTTGATCCGCCAGTTCGGGTTCGGATCGTTGCAAACGGGTTTCGGGTTCGGGTTGCCCTCAAGTTTCGGATCAGTGGCATCGGGTTCGGGTTCGGGTTTCGGATTTGCAAGAACCCGACCCGTGAGAAACACTAACCCATCTTCGAACTCGGTCGATGCCCAGATGCATGTCTGTATCAAATTTGGTAAAATTCAGCCTACTCCTTCGAGAGTTATGGAAAGACAGACAGACGGACAGGTCGATTACATAAGCCCTAGTCCGGGCTAAAAATTATATGCCAATCGTTCATTAGAGTCTGGCTTTTATGTAATAATGCCGTCTTAAAAGGCCTCGCAAAGTTGCTTGGAGTAGGTTTTTTAAATTGGATCCAACTGCCATTGTAAATGTATAACAACTATGGGTAAAACCCGTAAGGAGAAAAGTTCAGGTTCCACTCGATGCTGAACTCAACAGATAAATAGATTGGAATTGAACTAGGAACAAATAGAAAAACTAGTCAAATCAGGGAAAAATAGAAAACTGGTTTGTTCGGCTTACTGTATTTGTCCCAGTGCATTGGGAGACGGGAATCATTTGCATGAATCCGGATCGTAAATGGGAGGAAGACGTAGCGGAAATTGGTGGTTGGCTCTCTCTTTAAGAGGCTCGATCCATTTGCTAACCAGGCCAATAAAGACAGGCAGAGACCAGACCAGACCAGCTTCAAATCACTGGGTCGGTCGGATGGTCGAGGGAAAGTCGAGAAAGTCGAGATCCAATTTATCCAGGAATCAGAACCAGATGCAAATCTTGAATATCAATTCTAGCCTCTCAAACAAAACTTGAACAAGAAGACAAGCACAATCCAATCGGTATATACAGATATACAAAGGACCAGAATCCATTACCATTTTCCTACTCTTTTGGTAGGATTTCACGGAGCTGGACACATATTTTTTCCTACGATTAATGTCAACAATGCAGAAAGTGGTTTCGTGTTGTTATGTATGTTGGGCGGTATTTATGCATGTTTTGTCGACGATAGATTGACGATATATGGGCGAATCATCCCGTTTGAGTAAAAATACCTACCCATCCACATAAATTACACCTTTGTTTATGACATTAATAAACCATGATATGCTTCTAAAGATTTAATCATATCCTGAATTGCATCACTATTCAAACTACGATTTGATGTGGGTGCATATAGTTGCCAAATCGCAGAGAATCGCTGTCTTTTTGCCTACTGGGTATGTTCTTACTGCACAGACTTTCACTTTTATTTGGGTTTTCAGTCAAAACTAAATTTGTATCCAAGTATGTAGCTTATTGAAGTTGAGATGTAAAAGTTGATGAGATATGTAAATTCGATCTTACTGTTAGCTTTATCTTTCATTAATTCAAGTGTTGATTAGTCCAGCCCAGATTGTATGAATATAATGTAGCTCTACTTAAGATAATGAATAAAAAATAGATTTACTCAATTTGTTTAAATTGAATAAATTAGTCCAACTTTTGACATGTGTGTATATCAAATATAGTAAAAAAAAAAGTTGCAGTAAAGTGTCGAGAATTATGGTTTGGTCATAAATTTGATGCATAATAATTTGCTCAATATATTAATTGCACCACGTTCGCTTATGTACATACGCCAAACCAAATAAACCGGATCGGTTCAGTGTTCTTATTTAATTCATTTATTGTGTGCATTTCTCAAGTCTCGCCTTTCTCCTTGTAGGTACGACATGTACGACATGTACGACATGTACTATTTATATACTGTCATTTGCACAAGGTTTGTATTTCATTAATTTCCACCCAGTCTTCTTGGCTTTAATGTTCTTTTGGTTTGAAAGTTATCAGAAATTCCGAGGATTTTAGATTTTCAAAATTATTAAGGGTATCATTTCGAATCTGATTTTGACCTATTTAATGTAAACGAGTTGACGTTTACTCTGAAATGTGATAAGTATGAACAGAACTATTTAACTTGCCGAAAAGTTTGGTCCAACAAGATGAGAATATGTTTAGCGGAGAGAGCACGAGTTCTGAGGTGCGTGCCATTTATTATTTCCAGCTCCATCGTCTCTGCAGAGTGCAGATTGAAGCTGAAATGAAACTTATTGGATTACATTAATTGAATTAGTGAAAGAAATTTTCCTCCTCTTTGAGCCTTGTACATACCTTCGTGCATGGCATTCACCTCCCTTTTCTCTCCCTCACCAACCACTTGCACAAGTTCCTTTCACTTGATTGTTATGGTCTTATATTTCATTGCTCTAGTTCATGAGGAACATCAAAAATTGTTCAGGGCTTACATGGCTATCCTTCATTAAGAAAATGTTCAAGCAGTGCTGATAATTTTATAAAATATCGCGAGATTATTGCTGTGAATGGCTAGAGTATTACATACGTACGTAGGTATTGCTGACTCGACTCGCAGGAAAAAAGTATTTATATGTATATACGTGCTATAGATCTTTCATAGCTTTCAATTTTAGTTGAGAAATTAATTAACCTTATTTACAACATTTTTATTTCAGGATGGCTTCCAATAATCCTGGGCGAACTTTACGACACGGAAGGTCCCCAATTCACGCAAGAACCGAGTCGATCTAATTACTTCACGAATGTACAGGGTAGGTCAAAATTATTCATGTTAAGAGGATCGACATATATGTATTTACCTTTAAAATACATACATTATTTCATTCCAGTGCATATTTTCTGATTTGACGATTTCTATATATTTCTATATTTTTACCAAATAAGTAGAAAATTCATGCTACATATTTATTTACGAATGTAGTAAAATTTTCTCTTCCTAATAGGATCCATAAAATTTACTTTTCGTTTCAGGGCTTGTTCTCCATTGCGATGTTAAAGGTAGTCCGCAACCGCAAGTCCAATGGAGCCAAAAGGACGGCCAACCTCTGCTCAGCTATTCTGGAATCAGGGAGATTTTCTCGAATGGAACGATCCACTTCCCACCATTTCCCGTGTCCTTCTACCGACCTGATGTCCACGATCAAATCATCGTTTGTGTTGCTTCCAATTCCAATGGGAAGATTAGAAGTCTGGATATTTATGTGAGAGCTGGTAAGCAATGACTGAATGCGGGTCTAATGACTTGCGTTATCTTACTCTTGGAGGAATGGAACTCGTGATTTATGGCTGTACTGCAATTTCAAATCCGTGTTTACTTGCTATTCATTGACTAAACACTTCAAAGTTCGGGTGACAATGCAAATAACGTATTTTCACAATGACTTGACATCTGTTATCAGCCTGGAATATCTCGAGAAAGTTGGGAATAGAGTATTTTGCTGCTCATGGAAAATACTTACACACGTAAACATGTGCATATGTACATAATATACTTTAAGTTGGATGTCACAAACTTGTACAGTCGTATTAACAAAACAAAGTTATTTTCTCCTGTATATTTCACTTATTTCACTATGTATTTGTTATTAGAGAGTTGGAGACATGAATGTAGATATGTATGTAGTTTTCGGACGAGTTTATTTGCCAGCATTTATTTCCTCGTATATACGTTTTTCTAAATCATGTAAAACCGATACCTAAATATTTCCAGTTCCAACCCGGTGTCTTTTTACTTGAAAGTAATCTCCTGGTTCTCGAATGGTCACAATGTGTTTGCATGAATTTATCTAATTAGAGAGAGATACGACTATCAACTAGATATCAGAGTTGCTTTCATCAATTTATTTATGCAGACGGAGGATATGAGAGACTGGTAAAATTAAATGTAATATAGTTGTAATTCGGACAGTTTGCCTTTAATTTAGCAATGTAGATACTAGGATTTACCGGATTATAAAGTGAAATGCTACTTTAGGTTTTCGCAAAAGAAAATGGCTCAATGGATACACATTGCTCAAATTTTACAAAGTTGACACAAAATGTATTTGCTTTGCTATTTAACCATCTGCATCTGTCTCAACCATCTGCAAAGACTCACAAAAATTTGTGGAACATTTTCACTCGAGTGGCCAGTCGAAACCGACAAACTTTCACGAAATCAAATAACACGCAGCACAGCATACAAATTCAAAGAATCAAATAAACCAGTAAGTACGATGTGTAGTATTGTATGGTGTGGTCGTGGTGTGTGATCGAGACTATGAAATTGGTTGGTGAGAAGGACGAATGAATACAAGTCCAATTGGTTGTGCTGACCGACTACGAAGCACCAATTGCGAGATTGTCGCCCCACGAACTCTAGAGCTTTATGTAAACTTTTCTCTCGGACTCGGATTGGAATAGAAACTAACTGAATTGTGGTCAATTCTACTCTACAAAGCTGCAGCCAGCACCCAGCTTTACAGTTTGTTTGAAGTGAACATGTGCAATTTTTTCCCAAGTTGAAAACAGAGTGTGACCACTGCCAAATAAATTCAGAAGCATAGTATTTCACCAAACAATTGACTTCAGGTGGAAATAGGGAGGCGAGATCAAGCTAACATAAGGCTTCCACACTCTTCCATTTCATGGTAATCTATTTTTGGGTGCAAAAAGGATTACAATGGAATATGTATTGATTCATTCATTAGCAAACTAGTAATTTATGAACCTGTCAAATTTCATATTCCATGAAATGAACATTACATACGTTTTGCATTGTTCTGTGGTGTTTCTGTGTCGCTCGAAATAATTTTAAAAAGACTGGAACGAAATGGAACATGAAGCATACATATGTGCACGTGTGTATGTACATCTGTTTGTATAGCGTGTTTTGATACTTTCCTTTTGCAAACATAAATGTTTTATGATTATAGCATCAGACTACAATTTTATTCAACCTGAGAACATTCCACGGGGATTTCATATACTCAGTACAGTACCTTCTTGCTGACAATTAGCTAATCTATTTAAATATATGTTTAATTTCAAAGAAATAGAGCCCTGTTAGATGTTGTCACATAGATGCATATGTACATTGGAACTAATTTAAATATTCGCTATATTAACCAGTTAAATAAATAACCCTGTTCTATCGCTCCTTTTGCAGTCATAAACCAACGATACGAAGTCCGGGCGGAGGATGCTTTCGGTCTTGAGGGGAGTGATATTCTCTTCAACTGTGTTATCCCTGATTCGGTCAAAGACTTTGTGTCTGTCACTTCCTGGATAAAGGATGGATTACTTAACATTTTTCCACATTCTGGAGCAGGTAATCAGTGTGTTTACTCTTAACAGTATTTGCTGAAGAATCTTGCTTACACATTAAGTAATAATTAAGCAATATTTAGTTACAAGAAGCGCAACAAGCTGAATTTCATGCAAATAAACTCAGACACTCTGAATTTCTCTTTGGATTTCAAACATAATTCAACATCAAATCTTGTTGTATCATGAATTTTTAGTGACTACATACGTTATTGCGCATTACACCGCGTACGTATTTTCTTATATTAGAACAAGGATGATACATAGCAAGCCTTTTACAAAACTTCAAAATCACAATGATGGGGCATGAAGTTCCATCGATTCACAAATCCGCACATTAATAACCGAGTTTACAAAGACTGGTAGACTTTTATATATTAAAGTATTTTTGATGAGCTATACGTATAAGAAACGTTGACGAATTTCGTGCCACCGCAGTAATTTTCAATTTGATTTTGAGTAGATTGGAGTTATTTTCGATGGAGGATGAATGGTGACTGGTTGGAGTGAGTGATTGATATTGATGCATTTATTTGTCGCAGGTGGAAGGTACTTTACGACTCCCTCAGGCCAACTTCTGATTGAGGACGTTACCAGAAATGATTCCTTCGCAACATTTCGATGCCGAACTGTGAATAAATTGACTGGAGAGACGACCCTGAGTGAAAATTCTGCTCGCCTCCAGCTTCCTGGTAAAATTTCCGACTCGTCTCTCCACATTTTGCAACTTCAGCCCTGATACCAACCAATTTTATCTCCTCTCACGCCTCAACGTCCTCTACTCACGTGTAAATAATCCATATGCATATGGAACAAAATGAAATTTTATTTCTCAAATTCATATTGCTTTGCCCATACATATTAAAATGCGTCGACACCTTTCAACCCAATATCTTTTTTGAACACTCACACATATGAAACCATTTGGTTTTTGGCACAATGCATGCAATTATAGGTATTAAATATGTATAATTCGAGTGTTTTATATGATCAGTGGTTTGTTCATGGAAAAACCATCATGCCCAGATTAGCTTTATAAGTAAGACTTGCATGCATATACGTGCATGCGTGCATGTGGACCTACATACATATGTACATACACGTAGCTAGTCGACTTTAAGGTACGTGCAGTCAACTCAGCAAAAAACTTTCAATGTCTCATAACCACTCTGTAAAACTCTTAAGTCTCCCAATTTGACCCACTCATTCGACACAATAACCAAAAGTGCCCCGGTAAGTACTCAGACTAGTAGTTCTAAAAGTGGTGGTAGAAGCAGTTTGGATTATGAGAAGGAGGGCATTATAATAGCACATGGAGTAATGTAATGTAGTGGTTGGTTGTGGTGGGTATTAAATTAGAAGAGTTTTGGGGCGATGGTTGGAAGGAAGACGAGGAGGAAGTAGGAAATCCAGCATTTCCTTTATTCTGCTCTCTCCTTTGTTCCCCTGCTCCTTTGAACTGCCCTTTTCTTCCGAGAAATAAATGACTCTGGTTGATCGGGCTCAACCCTTTCGACGACTGCTACCTGGTTCCTGCTTTCACTCCTCCAAAGCACATCCAAGCCGAGAGGCGGAGGGGTACTGCCGGTCACAATTGATGATGATGATGACTTTCAGGAGGTAGTAAATCCAAACCAGATTCTCCGCCCAGTATCACCTCACGGATTTCAAAACTGAGACTGAGGGAGGGCGACGTGGGTGTTTTGCTCTGTCTTTCGGACGGCTCGCCTTCCCCGTCACATTGGTAAGAAGAAATATGGAAATGCAACCTTTGATGACATTTAGTAGTTTGGCGTGCTTATGATAATCTCTGAAATTTGCTTAATGTTGAAGCGACTTTGCAATCACCCTTTGAGTTTGGTCGCTTTAAAAGGGGTGCAGGGACGCAGCAAATGTTGAGAACCTGTTCCAGCAACAATTACGTTTGATTTGATTTCCAAAGTTGGATTGAATAACTGTCATGATTGAGCTATGCAGAATGTATGTATTTGATCGAATCTGAGCAACTTTTGAAGTCTAAACTAGTTGAGTAAGAGAACATGTGTCCGCCACATTAGTGTCCACCCACCAGAGCACTGCTCGAGTTTATAAGCTCTGATGCCAGAAAGGAAAACTTTTGATGGGGACATGCCAGCTTAGGCCTTATGAATATTCATCAGCCGACGCATAAAATAAAATTGAATTTAAACTTGGAAGAAGAAAAGTTGAACTATTTGCAAGAGAAGCTGAGGATGAGTGGTACATAAGATAGGCTCACATGTATTTTGTACTAGTAGATAGGGAGGGGACTACATGGAACAAATTCATCCAAATTCTTGGATCATATTGGAAGTTTGAATCTATGTAGTTTGACAATACCGATTTAGCAGGTGGATATAATGGACTGGAGAATTATTGTCAGTGCCCTCTAAGGATTTTTTAATCATAAACCAATTTTTTCATATTAAAATTACATGTGACTAAGAAATTATGACTTATATTTGTACATATGTATTTACATTATATGCATATCGCAAATATATGATCATAAATAATCTTTGCATAGAATGATACCAACCAAATAGATATCAATAATAGTAGATCGACCGTAATAATGGTTTAAAAACATTCATTCTACGTGTAAGCTCGCCAACAATGTTGCTTTTAAATACTTTCGCACGTTGACACTGATTACAAATGCCTTTCCCTTCCAACTTAGGTGGATGCGAAGCAATGGAGTTCATGGAGGATTGGAAAGTCTTCGACAAACGGAGCGAATTCGGATTCGTAAGTCCGCTGTGATAATAGAGAACGTGGGACTACAGGACGCAGGCATTTATGTTTGTTGGAGAAACAACACTTCGGGGTCAGACAGTTTTCAGATTCGCTTGGTGAGTCAAATTCCATCACATACGTCCCCCATCCTCTCCTACACACGTGTGTACATACGCAGGGAATAAAGCCGCATAGCGGCAGACAGACATCAGAAATACCAAATTTGTATTCCTGTCCAAAGCGAATGCCCCAGAATTCCAATGCATACTTCTATGAATATGCTGGTGAGAGTTATTTCGTTGCAGATAGCCTATGTACGCACATGTATTCTGATGCTGGCTCTTTTAATTAAAATTACATATTTTGCATAAACCAGCTTCGCTGTAGATGAATATGAATTATTATGGAGACTTTTGCATAAAGTTAAATGTTTAGTTGGATACATAGATGCACCCTCATTTTTCCTAACTTACTTACCAACAATATTGATACATGTACATTATTTTTGTTGAAATTTCCATTGCAGGTGGTGACAAGTCCACTCACCGTTCAAGTGATCCCCCCGGTCTTGACAATGGACATTGGTAAAAGTGCAGAATTCACATGCTGGACAAATAGCCCGGAGGAAACTGACCAGTCGACCGAGAGACAAATATCGTGGAGAAAGGATGGGATTGAATTGAAAGTAATTGAAATTCGGTCGAGCCCACGGCTGTCGATCACAGAGTCGGGAGAAAAGCTGCGAATTGCCAATGTCCAACGCGAAGACAAAGGGATTTACCAATGTTTTGTCAAATTCGATTCGGACATGGCTCAAGCTGCTGCTGAGCTGAGACTTGGGGGTATGTATGTTGTTACTGATCTATGCATATGCTCCCATTACTTTATATACGTATGTAGTACATCTACCCATATATGTGTATACATATTTAGTTTTGGTGGAGCTGAATTCCTTCCCCTTTTTTAAAAAAACAAATCTGGTCACAAGGAACAACAGCTCCACTTACGACAATCTAAATAAGCCAGTGGCTCCCAAGCGTTCTTTTTAAGATTCTTTAAAATAGGGTTTCCCAGTGATTACAAAGCTGAGATTTTGCACATGCGGCTGGTACTTCTGTCCGCTGCAAAATTTGAAAGTTGGTTTGGCTGTTGTTGCTGGCGAAGGCTTGTGTGTGATACTCAGTTTGTTTACAGTTTGGATTTGAAGCGATTTCTCCAAGTAAACACATAAACTTTCCCTTGCATCCAGCACTCTTGCATAATTCGTTGCTGTCACTTGAATCAACTTACTCAACTGGCATTTACTTCGAATACTTGGTAAAACTTGACGTCCTCAGTCAGGCCCTAAACATCATTCAAGATTTTGATATGGCGAAACTGAACAGTATGCAGCATAATAAAAGGAAACACGTTTGAGACAATTATCACTAATTTAAGTTCGTAGAAAACAATTGCCATTTATTCTATCTGTCTGTACATAAATGTAGCATTTTACAAATTCCAACTAGATTAGTGGATTTATGCGCATCAATTTAGGAACAGCGAGACCTTTCGTTGACTGCCCGCCACACTTGACACACATAATGCTCCAGTTCAAGCGTTTTCAAATACGTGGAACAAGAATACCTGTCATCGCCAACCAGGATACGGAAACACGCACACCACGACGACGTTGATGCTGCTGCTTAGGAGAATGCCTAATGCTCAATGCTGTGCTACATAGTATATGCGGCAGAAAGAGAAGTTTGGAGGAAAGGAAAGTTCAGTGAAAGTATCCACCGAACGTAATTACGGGCTCAAGCCTTGGGCCACGCTGTTGTCGTGTGACAGTTTTTGGTGCACTTGACGTGTTCACTTAACTACACCATAATTTAACTACACCAGACAGACGACCGAAGGAGAGAATAATGCCCTCGCAGAATAAAGTTCATAATCCTCTTCCTGCAATTAACTTAATGAGAGCCAGAAGCCTGTATTTTTCTGAAGGTTGCATGTTTCACACGGAAATCAAAAACTCTGTCTGCTATTTTTCAATCTCCTGGAATTTGTTGGCTAATTCCATTCAGCGTTTGCTTCATTAGAATAACATTTTTCACAGGGTGTTGTATCCATTTATCCATTCACGTACCTAGGCGCATATCTCTCATTTCCTGTCAACGTTAATACGGATCATCTCTCTGGCAAAGTTCGTTTGCATTGCTTTTCCCCGACAGAATCACAACCTGAAACTTTGCATTCAACAAACTAAACTTCCTTTACTCGAAAATCTCAAGTTTAAACAAGAACGACTTTTGAACACCCAAGTCATCCGTATCTAGATATACACATTTTAACAACTTGGGTACATCTCGCCGTGGTAGTCAGTTTTGGTCATATTTTCACGGGTTAAGATCAGAGTTTTGAGGATTGGAATTTTCTCATGTGGTGGAAGAATAACATACAAATACATAAATCCTGGTGTCGTACTCCTATACATGCTCTTTTATCTGCCTGCTGGTAATGTCTGATTATGCCATCCAAGCTTAAATACAAACAGAAATGAAAGAGTATGTATCTATTGTCGCGTAAGAAGCTCGTTCATATATAATTTCATAAGCACATTTAATTTAAAATATCTCAAATCGTGAGAGAGGAAACTTTCCTTCGTTTAAGGTTGGAAGTTATTGCTTCTTGGTTGGCGAAAGTTTTTTCGTTCAACTTTCACTCCTGGCCAAATACTAGAGACTATTGGGCACAATTCCATGAAAAGTTTCTGGTTGTCTCAGCAGATTTAACAACTTATTTTGAGATCCATATAGAATTTAATTGTTTATCCAAGAATTTTGATTACCGCAGCCTGTTTAACAAAGAATTAATTTCAATTTTGCAGACGCAGCTCCGCAACTGGTGTATCGATTCATTGAGCAAACATTGAGTCCTAAGCATGGAGTTTCTTTGAAGTGCTCTGCATCTGCTGGCCCAACACCGCACATTTCATGGACTTTGGACAGCTTTCCTGTCCCACAATCCGAACGGTATGCTATTTACTTTTTGAGAAAAATGATAAAATATTTTCTCTAATGAGAAGATGTCCCCGAATCTCATATTTATATATATATTTATATATATGTCTATAGCTGATGTTATATTGAGCATGAAATCAGTTCAAGTTAGTCATCTGGTTTAATGACAATTTTTCTTTGATCTCTTTCGGAGAGTGGAAATACAAATAGTTGAAGATTGATATTAATAAATGTTTGCTAAAGTCTGCATGTGTATCTACATGGACACGTGTCATCACGAAGAATACTTTGTTACAATTTTGATTTGCCAAATTTTTCACTCTAGTTGATTTTACTTGCTCATTTTCAGATTGCTTATTGGCCAATATGTCACATTACATGGAGACGTCGTGAGCCATGTGAACATCACGTCGACACGAGTGGAGGATGGTGGCGAATGGACGTGTACAGCATCGAACAGACTTGGTTCGAATTTCCATTCTGCTCGACTGAACATCTACGGTATACATTTGTAATACTTACTCCATCAAATAGTCAATATTCAATCCAATTTCTGGGAGTAGAGGAAGAGGAAGCAGAGACATTATTTTTACTTCTATTGTGCTACTCTGTCCTTATTTGGACTATTTTACTTCGTGTCGGGTGGTTGGGAAAAACCTTTTCAAAAAGCATAATGATGATTTCCTCACGTTCGAACTAGTATGAAATGATGAAACGATGTCGGAATCGATGTCTGTGCCAATAAGAAATCATTTTTCTTACTTAATGGATGAACGAAGCAGAAGAATGGTTGCAAATTGCGAAATGAACGCAATATTGAATTTTTTATTTAAAAAAATCAGCACCCATTGTCACACCACACACATTATCTAAGTGTGTGCGTATTGGGATCGTTGAGAAAAATGCCGCATACTCTTGATGCACAGATAAGTATTATTAAATTCGGTATGAACTAATGCATTTATTCATTAAAGTTAAATGCAGGTGGGATTAAAACTGTTATGCATAAATATTATAGTGAGAGGACAAGTGTAAAAATTGCTTGGTAGTAAAAAATTTCAGTGCGACCTCAAAATATTCTTGCTTCAGTTAGAACATAACAGGTTTTGCGTTTTACGATTGGTAATAAACTTCTCTCTTCATCCGGAGGAAACTTTTACCAGGCTGAATTTGAATATTGAACAGAACGGAGCCAATATATACGTACATATATATACAAGGATAGGAATATCCTCGTATTGCCAGGAAAATGCTGTGACTGAGTGAGTGAATATATTTTTATTATAGGTCCTCCAATTGTAAGAAATATGCCAGCCAGCATGACGGCAGTTGCTGGGAAGGATTTCAGGATAAAATGCCCTGTTGCTGGATTTCCAATATCTTCTATAACATTTGAAAAAGGCGAGTTGAATACTTCATTTTCGTAACCAGATTCCCTTGCAATTTCTTACGCCATCCACTCACTCACTCAATACTATTTCACACCCAACAACCTTTTCCACCCTTCTGGAGATGGATAGCCTACCAAATAGCTGCCCTCACAAAGTCCAACGCGCTTTCTCTTTCCTCTCCCTTTGATACACACATGGCTGCTGCCCGTACATATGCACGGGTGTATTTCACAAAGAATACTCAATGTCACAGATGAAATGAAGGTAGCTTATTATTGACACCATGTTTCTCTCCCTTGTCATATTGTATTCAAATGCCCGGAGAAAGTCCAACGAAAGGATGAACCATGACAGAAATAAGGAGCCAAAAAATTCGCAAATATCTGAAAATCCAGGGGACTGGGCACAGGGAAGGGTAACGATTCACAGTGTATACGAAAATGTTCTGAAGTAGTGTAGGGTTTTCTGGTAATAAGGAAATCTGAGAAATATTGGAGACGTATATAAAAAATTTATTTTTTTTTGTCTGGTTGTGGTGGGCATATATATAAACTTTGAGTATTGTTCACCGTGACAGATGGCCAAACCCTTCCTTTAACTAGACGGCAGTTGGTGTCGCCTGATGGGACGCTCATAGTGAAAGACGTCGATCGTTCCTCGGACGCCGGTTTCTACGTATGCAGCGCAACCAATAATAAGGGCAACTCGGACCGGAAAGGATTTCAACTAAATGTAGTGGGTGAGAAAAATTGAGCCAGCATGATTTGCTTCATTTATATTTCGGATACATTGATTCTCTGTTCACTATGGTTGTTTATTTTCGCTACAAAAAGTGCCACCCACAGTCGTGCCGTTTAGCTTTCCCAGAGAAGTGAAAGAAGGTGAAAAAATTTTTGTAACTTGTGTCGTAAGCCAAGGGGACGCCCCGATGCGATTGCAATGGCTGAAAAACGCACAAGTTGTTGGAGATACTACTGCTTCACCCCGAAAGGAAAACAAATCCGGTGTCAAACATCCATCTGACCTGCGATCTGACCTAAGCATTCACCGAATCGGCGACTCGGACGCGTTAGTTCTTCAAATTACTCACGTTAAATTTGAACACGGTTCAAATTGGACTTGTAAAGCAAAGAACCCATTTGGTACCCAAGAATACACGCAACAATTAGTTGTCCACGGTAAAACAATTGAATTCCATTCTTATAACATTACAATACACATTCACTTTCTCTCAACAAGCCACGAGCATACAATAGATTGACAACAGAGGGACCACGCTACATTTTTACCACAAGACGAGTAATGAAAGTTGAAAGGGACACGGATAACATATATACACCCACTCGTGTGGTCCTTGGCTAAACACATCCGTGCACACAAATACTTTCTCACACATAAGTTACGACAACGCTATACGCTCACAACATTCATGTCTCCTAAGCTCAACACAAGCTGGTTTCCTCGGATGTATGTCCTCGCACACACTTTTAGGCCTTGCGGTAGATGTGTATTTTGATTTAGCAAGAAAAAGAGGGTTCGTTGTTATTGGGTTGCAGAGTTGGTACGGTTTACTGGCTCATTGTTTCATCAATTTTATCCTGAAACTACATACATGGATGTTGCTGCTCTTAGAAAAGACTTTAGTTAATGTCGGCCTGGTCAAATTCTCCAATTACTTCTGGGCCTCCCAAACTCTTGGTAAAGGTAAGAAGAATTTGTGGAGGACGGCGAAACAAGTTGTTGAGTTTGCTATCTCCCGGCGTTCAAATTGACCTGCTGCTAAAGTCCAAGAGAAGAAAAAGTTGGCAACTTTCCTTGCTCGGATCTCTTGATTGCCTCAAAACTATCCTTTTGATTGTGGTTTACGCCAACTGTTCGTATTTGTTTTGGTGCTTTCCTCATTATTTGCAAGACTTGCATTAAATCCACTAAAGAAGCTAGAAACGACCTAATAATCTCGGAATGGGTTGATGATGAGATTTTGCTATGCTTTCCAGTTTGCTTTGATTACAGCATTTACTGCTTTCAATTACTATTGGCGGCGTTATTAAAGAAGAAAAGTAATCTAAAGTGATGCTATTCAATGGGTAATCTTTATGGTGCCAAAATATTATGCTATATTATCACACAAAGGCCATGAACCTTTAAGTTCATCTATTGGCCTTAATATTGGGCCGCATTGGCGCACGACTGGTCAAATGAAAGTGGCTGACTTTGCTTCGAAAGGACAACTTTTACCATCGCTAATTAAATATTTCAGTGGCACCAAGAATAGCGCCGATCTATCTGCCTAGCCAAGTGATTCAAGGGAGCCGAGTTCAAGTCGTTTGCTCCGTGGAGCAGGGAGACATCGAGGAGACTAATCTGACCGTCACGTGGCTAAAAGATTCTGAACCAATTCCTCTCGCAGGGTCACTGTCCACCAACTTTGTAAAAGTTGTCCATGTTGACGCCTACTCTGCCATGCTGATCATTGATCGGGTGGACTCCGTTCACGGGGGAAATTACACTTGTTCGATTGGCAACATAGTTTCAACTGTTTCCAGAACTGTGCCTCTGATTGTTCATGGTACAGAAATACTCGTATTATTGTTGGCACGTTAGACCTATGAATGTATGCACTTTCACTCACATCGCCAGCACTGTGTTGGAATGACTGCACTCTGCACCTCACTTTATAATTTTGAATTTTAAGAAAACTAATTTAATTTCAAATTTTACCACGTTCAGCCGCTAAAATTCTTAATTGATCTGGATAATTGATGAACATTTGTGCACTCAAGTCAGAAATTTAGCAAGGCTGATTTTGTATAAGGTTGGTTACAATCTGTATAAAATATAAGACTGATGTTTCCAACCAAATTCAGTTTATTTAATACTTTTGAAAACTTTAAGCAGCAGCACACATTTGGCATACCTCGTCATCAACAACTTTTTCCCATTCCGTGGGATAGGAGGTCGCTTTTAATCAAATGTACTTGGATGCCTTCTTGGTGTGTTTAAACCAGAGTTGCCCAAGTGCTTTTGGGACCATGTGCTGGGGTAGGTGGACTCTTAATCCAGGAAGGCTTTTCTCAGCCACCTCCGTTACGCTTTCAGGAAGAAGAAGTCCCGGCGTACTCCTGTTTTTCATTAGGATGAGTGGATAATTTGCATGGAGCATTATCATACATACTCACCCACCACCACCACCGCTAAGGTGCCTCTGTGTCGGATAAACCTAGTTCACAATTTACTTACTTTCACTCTGCGTGTGCTAATCCCATCGACGCTCCCCAAAGGACTACTCGTCCTATACGACTCGGGACTATCCTATAACAATCTAAGGCAGACTTGGCCGCCTCCGTATCAGATGTAACGTAATAGGTTAGATAATATTTAGACCACTTTCTCCATTTTGCAGATATTTGGAATACACAAGTAAAATTTAATAAGTAAAGCTCAACATTTTAAACTGAGATTTATGTAACTCTTTTTTTCTATTTTGCTCTGCGAATGGTCCAGTCCATACGACTTTATGTCATGCGAAATCTTTGTTCCAGTTGTACCGGTTAAAAAAATGTATCCATAACCCAAGCTTTCAATTCCTTCACCATGAACACATTTATGAACGTACGTACTTGTCTGCGACTTGCCTTGATACTTTTGTCAGAACTCAGTTTCAGTCACTTTTGTTGATATTAGCCGAGTATCATGAGAATAACAAGTAATTACATACTCGCCTTTTGAGAAATATCCTACAGCAGAAATTCCAGACGTGCGGGGGGTGTTATTATGGAGTAAATATTTGTTTATTGTTCTTCATATTTATCTTTCCGTCTCTTTCTGTCAAGCTTCTTTAGACTCTTCTCGTGTAGATAGCTGGCTCGGCACTGGAGAAGTTATTTTCTCTGGAAAAAATCATTAGGAAACTTTTATCAACTTGGTTTTAGTTTAAACAAAAAAAAAGCCCGAGACACACCACAAGATGTTCTTTGTTACAAGATTTTCGTGTAGGTATGCATCTACGTATGTAGAAGATTGCACGCATTGCTCAGTCCTATGTGAACGTAACATGAATTTTGTGCGCATTTCTTAACCAACGTGTACGGTTTGCTCACCACACACAGCGGTTGAGTTGATCCAAAATTTATTTTCGAAAGCCAGTCCACTTACCTTACTTACCTAATCCCAGCCAAGAAAGTGGTGCACACAGCACACGTATGTAGTCTTTTCGGTGGCTTAAGTTAATCCAACGGGATGCGAGTATGATTTTGTTTCTCGCGTGGGATAAACATCCGTCATAAATTATATGTTGGTAGTTTGGTGGCACACAAGACGTAGGATATTAGACACAGATGGTTCCAAAGCAATTTAAACTGACCGTTTGGTGGAAAACTCTGGACACTTTTTTATGACATAAAGTCCACAAAATGGGTGTCTTGTGCTATATCGAGGAATTTTATCGCTCTTTAGGATTATCTCGGTTTAGTAATGAAAGACCATAAAAACCGGCCGTACAGTAGTAGTTGTTGCCCTACTAAATCCATGCTGTCAATGAAACTCGTCCATGCTGGAGAAAGTTCAGAGTCATCACAAGTCCTCATTAGAGTTTTATCACAGATTTAATTGCGCTTTGTTCGCCAGAGCTTTGCGAGGACTAACACGCGTATGTGAAAGTGCACCGGTTGTGTGCTATTCATATTAAGCACAGTTGGAAAATATTGGTGGTACGTACATATGCAACTTACGTTTATTTGTACATTCTTGGTTACCAACATACGAATAAACCTACACAGTCTTAGTCATTGTGATGTTGTATAATATCGTTGATTGACTCATCTGACTTTAATTTAGGTATAATTATAACGATTTGGGTAGCTCGATTGTCAAGAAACGTTGCCAATATTGATATGTATGAAATTAATATACGTATCTATATGTAGTGAGGTTGAACTAAAAATCTCCTCAGTGCACCTTAATTGAGAAGAGAAAAGGGCATTTGACCCGAATGAATGGACATATTACCAAGCTGGTTGTACTAACATCTCCAGAGAATGAATCCCAAGTCTAAAATCTGAAAAGGTTCTCCAACCCGTTTCTGGAATCAGAGGCACTTAAAGCTCCTCAAGTGCTTTTTGGCCCACTTTCACCCTGCACTTTAGCCCGCTAGAACTACTTGGAGACCAGAGAATGTACGTATGTATAGGTTGGATCCTTGTGTACACATCAGCCTCACCAACGAAACCCTATCCCATCGATTCTGCTGATCCACGAACAATTTCACGCTTCAGAATTTGCGGTAATAGACTCGCCTGGTGTTGTTTTTTATGCTTTTTAGGAACCAAACCAAAAAAGAACACCACACAAGCAAGCTCAACTAACTTTCACCGTGGTGAATGTGTGATCGCATCACAAAATCACAATCAACCATAAGTTGTTTTCTCTTTTATTCCGCCTCCTTTATTTTATGGCCCTTTTTTCTTCCCAAAGAGAATACGCAGAGTGACTCGATGGCTTCTCACTCTTGATTACATTGCATTATTGATGAACCTGGGCAGTCTTTATATCCACTTTGCAAAGAAAGCTGCAGGTTTGGGTATCCTGCCATTATTAACACCAGCGATACTGGAGGAGACTACTGCTCATATTTAGTGCCTATTCAATTCCTTCACTTAATAACCGGGCTTACATATGTATGTATGTACATATATTTATATTCTATATGATTATCATGGACGAAATGCGAGTAAGCCAGGGCAGAGAGGCTGATTGCACTTGTTCGTCTATGTATCCATGTAGTGCCTTCTTCCTTCTTGTCTTGCTTGTACAAAATTATATGGCATGAGCAGAATCAGCACAAAGTGGATTGACATGAAACACACGAGGATCCTCAAGATGAGATGAATTGTGGTTTCCTGCCTCAACTTCATCTCGAGGTCCTGCATGAGCGTGACGGACTCAAAACCACTGCCTACTTGAGAGCACTCGAATAAGCACAGCACAGAATTCACCTTGCACAACACAGCACAAAAATCGCACAATATGTACTTTTAGACGAGGGACAAACTATAATCGCATTATTATTTAGCTTTACAGGAATTATGTAACCTATTGTTCTCTGAAATGTGTCAACTCAATGTGGATAAAAATATTATTCAAATTAAACTTGCGCTTTCACTAGCTAAATAAATAAATTATGCGATCATGTTTGTTCCTCTCTCTTCATATAAAATATTTATTAAGGCCAGAAGCACTACATTATTGCACCTTAGTTATGTGTATTTTTTAAATTGGCTTGTTGAGCACTGAACTACTGGATGCGAGCACACATAATATATGACAAACGATGGAAGTGAAAGCGAATTAGGAGAATAATCTGTGATGTAAAAAATCTAGTACCGCCCAAGTGGACGCTGGAACCTAAAGACGCTGAATTTACGTCAAATTCGCAAATCGTCTTAGATTGCAATTCAGAAGGTTACCCAGCACCAGTTATGTCTTGGAAAAGAGCAGTTGGTAAGTTAAATGTTTAAATTTTGATTTCTACAAAAAGATGAAGCTTAGCTATCAATCGCACACATAAAAGCAGTAATAAAACGCAATAAGCATCTTTTAGTGATAGCAATATTAGCAATTATCCATGCAGCTATGAATTATCAGAAATAATTACACAATTCTTAAATATGAGTATGTAGGATAGCTACATATTTATTGGGAAGCCGGTCAGAATGTCTGAACAATTTTTTTGTAGTGAAAGTATGCGTTTCCGAATACCCGACTCACTTACCTAACATTCCGTCTGCAATGCACATTTAGCCCCCACATCACTGCGTTGCATTCAGTGGGTTATTGCCGAGCATTGTTCTTGGCTTGCGAAATACTTGGCATTTCTTCTTGCCCAATATGGATGCCATTTTGTGCGACTTGTGATTTAAGACGACTTCGTCTTATACCAGCGACAAATGGAGCGACATGTGTTCTGTACATTGAATTTTATCCATATCACATCATTCCATTATTCTTCCACTTCATGGCACCAGCTGGTAAACGATGAGATCCATTTGAAAGAAAGAAGGCATAATTTATTGGGATTAGTTGAAGAGTAGCCTTATGTACATAGGTCTAAAATTGTGAAAGAGTCCTCCGAGTGCTGAGCAAATGCGGGTCTTTAACCCCCATTCGTCATGTCTTCCTGTATCCTTTTCCTTAGAACTATACATATTTTTACAAGAGAGCATCTTAAGCTAGATAATTATAGTGGTGCGCAAAACTAGAATATTTCTCCAACTTCATTGCTGATAATATCAAATTATTTTTATTCGTAATTTTGTATTTCTAAAATTTCTATGAAATTCTGTGAGCTTATATTTTAATACTGAATGTGCTCTATTTGTAGTTTTATATTCTGTTGTTTATTTTCAATCAGATTATCTTAGCCTCGTCAGATCAAGGGTCATATATACAATTCAATGGGCGTAATTCAACTATAGCGGCTCTTAGAATTTTATTTCCTCTCAACAGAATAATTTATAAAAATAACAGAAATTATATGTGCATACAATTTATTTAATCGGATATACTGATAGTTTTGGGTTATAAAATAACCCAAGAACTCATCTGTGTTCGCATAATTTGTGTTCCACTTTTCTACGTTCTTTCTTTTTAAGAAATCCAGCAGATTGCTTGAATATAAAACAATGTACATCGCTAAGCCTCGACTTGATCCTCATAAATAATTCATCCCTTTGCATGGGATTAGGATTAGATCAACTTTGTTTTGATGGGAAATGAGTTTTTGGTCGCTTTGGGTTAAACAACGTCAAAATAGGCGGATATTTGTTAAAGCACAATTCCCTTGAATCGCTTTAGTCAATTCACTCTTTTAGTTATTACATAACCTAAAATCTGAGTAGTTTAGTTTGACGTATGTCAAACGAGGTCACACATAAGCCACACCCGACACACTTTCTTTGTTCGTTCCCTAAACCTTCAAATTCGCAAAACGTAAATATTTCAAGAAAAAAGGTGGGATCCAATCCAAATCTCCAAGCTATTATAAAATTGTTAGACATTTGTTATTTCTCATGAGCATTAACGGCTTCATATTTTGGCAAGAAATTTATTTTAAATCTCCACTCGATTCTGGGGTTTGCATAATAATGTTTGTTTTTTAGGTAATCGACCGGAAAACTATCGAGACATTCCTGTACAATCGACTTCTCCAACCAGTTCCAGTTTGGGAAGCATCACGTTACAACATCAGCCAGGCGGAGGTGTAATTTCTTCCTCTTCCGAAGATGTGTTTTCGCTCACAAATGGGAGTCTCATTATAAAGTCTGCGAGAAAGTCTCATCAAGGATTTTATCTTTGTAAGGAGCTCAAAGTATTAAATATATTCATTCAGCGTTCTAAATATATTTAATGATCTAAGGCGAGGCCTCGAATGGTATCGGCTCTGGGTTGAGCAAAGTCATACGGCTTGCAATTAACGGTAACTCTTGCATACATACATTTATGATTATAATCACAGTTCAAGTCTACCCCTTAATATCTATCCCTTGATGTGTGTAAGCGAAAGTATGATTAGACGACTTTCCCATCGCGAGTACAAATATCTCATGTACGATGGGTCATGACACGTTGTTTCCATGAGTTGCATAACTTTTTTGTATTGAAATACTTCATGTTATGTGCTTCTTATTGCTTCGATATCTTCTCACAATTGATTCATCTTGAGCTAACATTTTTAAAGCTGTTGTTGAACTATATTTACAAAAAAATATTACTTATGAACTAGGTCTCACGCTCGACTAACAACTAACGTTTTCTTGTGTGCGTACGCCTTTATGTTTGTTGATACGCATAGTCTAGTCTAGACATTTCCTCTCAAAATTGAGACTGCAATAGTGGCAGTGCATTAAAAAAACTTTTATTGGAAGTCGTTATGACTGGATGGTGCACTGCAGATTGCTCACTTATTCATGAAGAGACTTATCACCTGGTATGTTACCCAGGAATGAATAGAGCTCTATATTCTCGTGATATTACTCGTTTCATTACTATAAAGATTATCTGCTTCCTTTCTTCCTTCTGCTTTTCCGCGTGCATTATGCATTTATTCATAGCAAAGTAGATCATGACGGAGTGAAGAAAGGGGTGAGGAAGTGAGGTAGACAATAATGGCAAAACTTGGTCTACACGTAATCGACTGAACTAGGAATTCGCCAAGATTTGAATCTACACGGGACGGGATTTTGATCCGAGTCAAATTTACAGATTTGGGATTTGCCTAGCTTAGAATTTTGAGGCGGCTCACGGCTTGGTCGAGTTTCTTCCCCCCAATCTTATCTTATTTGCCTAATGTCATCCCAGGTTGGTGTTCAATTCGGAAGTAACGTTTTCTCTTCTAAATTCCAGTACCTGTTCACGTGAAGGAGTTGCAGCGAAATGTTTCCTCTCGTGTGGGAGGAAGAGCCATGTTGAGATGTGAAATCACTGGAGATGGTCCCATTGAGGTTGGATGGCGAAAAGGACTTGTGGAACTAAAACCAGAGACGGATCCCAGGTCTGAAAGTGGACATTTATTACTTTACCTACACTGTTGCTTTGTGTAAACAAAATTTGAATTTCAATGAGACCTCATTAGTGGGGTTGACAATTATGAGATTAAACGCAAACTTTGACATGTTGGGAGGATAAATATGTGCCTAAGCAAACTTGGGTTTGAATAATATTATTCACAAGTATCAAAATTTCCCAATACGAAGTTCCAAGCCTGAACAAGCACAATAAATTCACTTGGCTTAGCATAACGTAGCCTAATCTACCTCCATTTATTTGAAACAACAATAATTTTATTCATGTTTTGTTCCTTGATGAATGAGAAACAAAGACATAAATATGTAGCGTAAATAGCTGCGCAGGTTCTCAAACCCTATTTTCTATTGACCTTATATGTGCATACGTACTCATACGTATGTGCAGTAGTTTTACTTATACTCTGTGTAAAGCGAGGACGAACGCGTGTGCACGGCTTTCTCCCCATAATATTATTACAACTAAAGTTGCATGCTAAGTCATATTAAATAAAGTAGTTTGAAATGTCTTCTTAAATCCAACAACAACTATTCTCGAGGCAGCACAGATACATAAATAATGAAAGGCCGGGTAGACAAGAGAAAGACTCGTAAAATTTATAGAGCCGTATTGCAATCTCAATTGGGTCGGTTTTAGATGACTTACCTTCCCCCCGGCTCAACCCAAAATGCCATAAGCAATAGCAAAAGACGAATTGTCTTCTTATGTTTCCCATCCAGCATTGTTGTTTTCTCTCGGGTGAGATGGGATATGAATTGCCTGGGTATCTTATTCGATTGTAATACTGCATTTGCAGATACCAAGTCCGGACATTAAACTCCAGCCAAGGCACCTTCACTTCAGAACTGACAATAAATAATGTGGGGCGAGAAGATGGCGAGGAACGGTATCTGTGCTACTCTACGAACCACCACGGTCGAAGTCAAGGAAATGTGTGGCTTTACGTCCAAGGTGATACGCCGCTTTGTGTGACTGCTTTCACAAAATAAATTTAGTACCTTTCCTGCTTCCTCCTCCACAATGTTGCTCAAAATTTGTAATTCTGCAAGTAGACAAGAGGTGGGCAATGATAAGTATACTATTAACTTGGGACAATAACGAGCAACGTATGACATATACCCCATTTCTAGCCTCCGGTCTTGTCCAATGTCTATCCTGCGGAGGTAGAGTACGGAGAGCAATAAAACACTACCCATCGCGGTGCCAAAGTCATGGGCTTTTGTCCTCGCCCGTAATGATGAATAAATTTTGTCGCGGTTGACCGTCTAAGACGGTGCGAGACAAGTGACGCGTGTGGCCGGGACGACCGAGAAGGATAATAGCTTAACATATGTGCATATTGAATGAACAAAGGAAACGTTACTCATATTTACACTAGCGTCCACTCATCTTAAAGTTCTATACCAGTGTCGCATTTTGCTTAAGCACAAAGAACAGGCAAAGATGTAACTAAACTTACTTGTGTATAGTATTAAAAAGATTATGCTACCACCTTCTTAATTGATGTTTTTCTGGATAATGCAGTTGTGGTTTAGGAACAATTATTTTTTCTCCAGCAAACGAACGTATCCGTGTACATATACTTGTAAAGCATATCTTACGATTAGATATATATATAAACACTGACTGATTGTTAGTTGTGAGTGATGAAAGTTGTGAATATCCTCGTCAGAGTAAGATGTAAGGGGTTTTATTATCCAACAATGTTTCATTCTCGAAATATTGGTATTGTCCCAAACCAAAAGCGTGTTCGTGTTCCGAATATTAATTGGTTACGTCACCTAAGTGGAATATTACATTTTGGAAATGTTTGTGTGGAGATAAAATCAAGGGAGTAAACACACGTTGTAGTGGTGACAAATGATGTTGAATTAAAATGCCCGTACGAGTCTGGAGCCTGGGAAGTGAGAATAGATTCACAGAGTTGACTATGATATATAATATGGGGAGACGATGAGGTCGTAACTCAATTCCCACCCCGCTTATATTGCTTGTAATTACAGGAGCCAAGTTGTAAACGTGCCATTTGTCTTCTTTTATCTAATTTTGACTTTCACTTCATTCTCATGCACATTCCTCTTTCTCTTTGACAGAGCCTCCTCCGAGTGTCCGCAATTTGCATGTGATATCAAAGGGGAGTCGTTTTGTTCGAGTAGGATGGCAACTCACGCAGGATGGAAACTCGCCTATTATCCAGTTTATAATAAAATATAGGTTACAATCGGGCAAGTCATTTCGCCTCCCTCACTCCAAATGTTACATACATCACGTACATTTCGCACTAATTATTGTCACTTTTTCCTTAAATATTTCAGCAATTTCAAACGACTTTCACGAACTAACCGTGCCTGGACAAGTATTTGCTGAAACGGTGGCGAATTTGAAACCTGCACGAAAATATTCTCTATTGATCATTGCAGAAAATCAAGTTGGGCAAAGTGAACACAGCGCAGTAAGTAACCCATCTGCTTACTAACTCACAAATCTTGTCTCTACAAGACTGCTGTAAAAATGCTATAAAATAAAAATCCTCGAGTCGTCTTGAGATGCAATGCATGTTTGGTTGGCGGACGGGCGGGCGGATTGCATGGGAATGGAAGGAATTGTGTGGAATGTCAGCTACCAAAAAAAAGCTTCCGGATTTATTTCAGCTTCTGGAGATCAAAACGGATGGAGAACCACCTGAAGGTGCTCCTAAAAATGTGAGAGTCTCTGCTGTCTCCGTGAGTGACATCCAAGTTACGTGGAGCCACCCAGACCGAGAGACTTGGCATTCGGAACTGCTCCTGGGTTATTATGTTGGCTACAAGAGATTCAGGTTAGCTGCCTTCAGACTTTGAACCTTTGTCGTTGTCCACCAACTCAAACAGGGAGCGAGCGAGGGTGCGGATGGGAAGAAGGAAACCCAGGATTTTTCTCGGAAGCTAAATACATTCTATAATTTTGCTCGTGTCCTCTTTGACACTTTTCAGAGAAGGCGACCAGTATCAATTTAAGACTGTTGAGAGACAGGATGGATTGCAAGAGTATCAAATTGTCCTTAAGGAACTTTTTGCTTTCTCCTCGTACGAGATTGTCGTGCAAGCATTCAATGCCAATGGGGCTGGCCCAAATTCCGATTCCATCGTAGCTACGACATTAGAAGATGGTTAGTGATTGGCCCTCCAACTTTCTTTACTTAGATACTTGTGGAGACGATAAACAGTAGTGATGATAATAATGCTACGATAAATGAGATATTCGAATATAGCGTTGATACATATGTTTTAATTTCCTGTATGTCTGCAGTGCCCATCACAGCACCGGATGGCCTGCATTGGTAAGACGATAACATTTATTTACTATTGTTTTAGTAGCATCCAAACTTAAGTCATGAGTTAGTGCAGCCAGACGTAGAGAAATACTTGGAGACTAACTTTCTATTCAATAAAGTGACAAAAATACCAATTCATTGTTCATGATTTTATAGAAAAAAATAGTAAGACTGCTTAAAAACCTTCATACTAAATAATCATGCAGTTTCAAACTTCTCAGATTTGAAGGATTATGATTATTTAATATTTTATGGGCAATGGATCGTGTCGACATTATGTTTGAATGCCCAAGTCTTGACATTGCTTCTTTCAGCACATCTCTAACGTCGCACAGCCTTCAACTCGGTTGGAGTCCCTTATCACAGGTTTTATTATATAATTTGCTTACTTATCAGAATAAGTCGTACACTAGTGGTTGGCATAAAAATGTGAGCATAACAAAAATGACAAATTTGACGCAGGAGCAAGCTCGAGGAGTTATCAAAGGATACAAAGTGCTTCTGGAGAAAACTGATTTTGATTTGTTGGGTAAGAACTCAGAACTCTTTAGCTTTGTTTTGTGTGTGAAAGGCTTTTCTGATTTCGAGTGGTTGTTGTACTTGGAAGTAGGACAGGAAGTTCAAAGTGGTTCTTGTTTTTCTTCCGTATTTAGAAAGTAGTGAGCCTCTAGTGAGAACAACTCCATCGACAAATATAATTATTGGTGGGCTGGCCAAGTACAAAAATTACAGCGTTCAGGTGCAGTCCTTCACTGGAGCTGGACCTGGTCCTTTGAGCCAACCCCTCACTTTCTGCCACACTGAAGAAGATTGTGAGTACAATTGTGACTTTGTTATTTTCTACACTTTGATCTAATCTCGCTTTGCCCACATCCACACCTCCTGTTGTTCACTCAATTCGCAATTCCATATTCGAGCACCAGTCACACCCACTTTTTTGTCAAGATTTATGCTATATGCATATTTAGCCGTGTGATGTCGAATGCAAGTGAAAGTTTAATTGTTGCAGTACCTGGAAACCCAGCATCCGTCAAAATCAGTATCAATCCATCTTCCCCTACAATAACTGTTACGTGGCTTCCTCCTGCAGAACCCAATGGCATTCTCACCAAATACACGGTTTATATTTCCACTCCGGAAGTAGGCAAAGGTAAAGATGCTATCAAACGGAAGAGGCAAGTTCCACCCGACGTAACCAAATTTCAGGTAAAGCATCATCAATTTCACGCCCTTGCTTGACAAAGAGAATGGATGGAATGGATAGAATGACCATGGTGGACTTTTATTGCTAAACAGTTTGATGGATTGAGGATGGATGAGAAATACGAATTGCGAATCACAGCCTCAACGAAAATAGGAGAAGGCAATCCTGCAATTTCCCACAAACTCCTGATCAAAACCGGTACTTCCATGATATGCATGTACTTGGGTAAATCGCACCCAATCCGATTTTATGAGTGGGGTAAATGTGAAAACTGGAAATTGGTAATAAATGGTAAAATTGCAGTGCAATCAGCTATTATATCGTTTGGAATGGAGTTTCGTGTTGTTTGGAAAACCGACCTACGATTACCATGTGAGTTTATGTGAGACTGCATGCACTTTGAAAGTCAAATCACCATCATCATAGAAAATAGAAATAAATGACCTGTGCATTTGACGCCTTTCTTATCACCAGCACCTTTGAGGACAATTAAATATAATTGTCTCTCTAATTTCATTTTACTTATGTAGGTGAGACGGTAGGACCTCAACCCATACAGTGGACACGTCTCATTGAAAATCGAGAATCTGAAAGGTACATACATAATGGATGACATCAATAACGTAGCTTTAACTACAGGACAGGACAAAACCTAACTATTTTCTTCTAGACTTTCTGGAACGCAGGAAGGTTCTCTCATGATTAGGAATGCACGCGACAGTGATAGTGGAAATTATTCCTGTTCCATAAATGACAACAAGGGACACATTATAGACTCGATAATGCATCAGGTCATTGTTCAAGGTGAGTATTTTGATTCTTGTTTAATTAGCATCTGGTCAGGAATTTAAATGTTGAACTCAAACCTGATAATTGCATACTCGCACTTTTTTCAGTTCCTCCTCTTGGACCGTTGCTAAATGTCGCAGTCAATTCTCATTCGTCATTAAATCTTCAATGGAAGGTGTCAGACACTGGTGGTGCTCCAATCCGAGGTAAGTTAATTTTAGAAAAATTGTACCATAAAGTATTTTACAACTCTTTCAGCAGTGCATTTTTACTCGATTCGTAAAACACGTTCATCTATTCGTTTTGTTTTTAAGGTTACATTTTGCATCTAAAAGCATCCGGTGAATGGCTGGAACGTTCAATAAGTAGACATTTGACCTTCTACGAACTCAGAGATCTGGAATGTGGAACAGAGTATCAGGTTAGAATATTAATGATCCGGCCCATGTTCTGTTTAGATTTCTAGGCTGAATTATAGAATTTCTCCTCTGACACCGTTTTAAATGCGTTTTATATATGTATGTGTCTGTTTAGATGTATCTGGTTGCGTTCAATCGGGCTGGAATGGGTCGTGCAAGCGAATTATTGAACGTGAGTACACTAGGAGACCCACCATCCTTAAGCCTTGTCGCCCCTCAGGTAAGTTGGAATTATTCTGTAATGTTTGTAATTTTCAGTAATTTTCACAATTAAAAATTATTGAATTACTGGAAAAATACACATTTCATTTTGTTTGATAAATATTTACGTCAATTATTACAGTTCATGGTGGAAACGAATCAAACGTGGGCCAGAGTGTTGCTTCGTGATGTGTGGTACATTGCAATTTCAGTTAGACTGCATCTTTTCATGACATTGTGTAACTTTCGGGAAAATTATTCGCTAGGTCTGGAAATGGTTGTCCTTTAAACAAATTCCAAGTATTATTCAAAGAATCCGGCGCGTCTCATTGGCAAGCAGGCAAGACTTTTCTTTTCAGTTGTAATAATAGAATGGAACTACTCAGGATCAGTAGTGTTGCTATTAATCCATTTGTGCTGTGGTATTGGGCGTACGCATCATTTTAAATTTGTATTTTCTAATCAGTGAGTGCTGAGCTCACGGGTGAAAGTCACAGTGCTGAGTTGCTGGGATTGCGAGGAGGGACCACCTATCAAGTCAAAGTAGTTGCCACAAATACCGCTGGTAAAAGTCAAGCAGAGGTTACAATTAACACACCTGATGCTCATGGTAATATATGTATGTATTTACGCTTAAACTACCTTTAAACTACTCTTGCAGCAGTAGTTCCTACTAATTTTCTAAATATGTCGTATGGAAATTTATCTGATAACTAATTTCAGATCTTGGAGCGGAAACTTCTAACAAAATCATGAACTATTCCGAGACTACGCCTTTTTATTCGGATATTAGGCTCATGATTCCAATAGTATTGTCGTCTTTCACCCTTTTAATCGCTGTTAGTGGAATATGCCTTTGCTTTCACAGGAGTAAGTTCAAAATAGGCTGAAGATGACTTATTTTATGGCTACTGCCATTTTTGCGAAATTTACAATTTCTAATATGCTTGATTTCTAGAAGCACCAGTTGAGTATCGTTCAACGGATCAATTATCAATGGGAACATCTTCATCTTCCACATATTTTAAGCAGAATCACAGAAACTCCCAGCAACAGGTTTACATGACTGTGAAAAAGTCTACTCCAATGAAAGGAGTGGATGTCACAGACTTGGAGCCAATTCCTCGTAAGTTTTATGATGAATGAGTCAAAGAGCTCTCGGTCATCAAAAGGCAATCGTTGTTTGTTTGTTTTGGAAGAATATGCGGACGACATTCATCCATACGCCACTTTTGAATTGAACGAAAATTCAAGAGATTCAAAGGGATGTATTTTAATTCCAACCTTGGAAAGACGAAGATCTTCCAACCAAGGGCAGTGGAACCAAAATGCAGTATGTGAAAAACTGTTCGACAAACAATTTTTCAAGAAATTGCGGAACCATTGACACTTTAACCTGACTTTCAGATGTATCAAGACAAGAACCGTTCCAGTGTGAAACCAAGAAGCAATCCTCGAAGTTCTATGAAGCAGGAGGAAAGTGAAGAGTATGATAGCGGATCTGGAACGGACACTGAGCGAGTAGATCCTTACCAAGGGTTCAATAAATCTCGTAAGTAGATTCTAGGGAGCATTTTGTCTCAAGATGCTTCCAACCAACATTCTGCTTTTTAGATACCGCAATGCCTAGCAGATTAAATTCAAAATTTCAAGACTGTGACTCTCATGCTCACGGGAATCGTTACGAATTTGCTCCTCCGACCGGTGCCAATAAGATACGAACTAGACAGATTCAAAGTAAGGCAAATAAGTCTTAAGACTTGTGTTGGTGTGGGATTCCATTTCCACCGCCACCAAGTAATTCATCATAAGCACAACTTTACAAATGTTTGAAATTAGATAATGTTACGATGTGCAAATGTTGCAGGCGAAATTCAGGGCATGGTAATAGCTGATCCGTATTCATTCAATGACGCTTTCCCAACTGATGAGCGTCGTAGTAGAAAACCAAATAAACGCAGGTATCAAATTCCACCCATGAGTAATACAAACCAGTACAAAGCATTTTTGCATGCATGTTGCTGAATGAGATGAACTTGTTGTTGATGTCAGATCTCAGGGACATTCTCAAACCACACAAATGAACCAGGAAGCGACCGAATATCCAGGATTGGACCTATCCTTGGACCCACCTTATGGTTTTAAGGATCAACATGAAACAACAAATCATAATAAAAAAATCAATAGAAAATCGAATTCTTCAACTGAGTATGCTATTGCGGTTTGACAATAGTGGTAAGGCATGGCACAATTTTTTGTGACCTGCCACTCCAATTTCTAATATTGTATTGGTTGTATTGTACTCGAAAAATCTATCTGTGATACCATTGAATAATTGGTTATAAAAGTAGGCAAGCAGATGTGAAAAATAAGCATGTAACCACCATAGATTTTAAACCACATAACTTGTATACAAATATAGCGAACTTTGTACGTGATTAAATGATTTGAAAAGTATCATGCTATTTATTCAATTTCAAATTAAGGATTTATCACTTGCGAATTGTATTTTATTCCAGATACATAAAATATATATAAATTGTAGGTATTGTGGTAATTAAATTGTTGCTTTATCAATGATTCTTTATACTGCTTACGATTAGATGATTACATACACATACATATATAATTTCTAGTTAAATTTCCATCTTTGGAAATTCTTGTATAACAATTGAATCATCGATAATTCCTTCTTCCACTCTTTTGTCCCAAAATGCAGCCCTAGCTAAAATATTGCTACTACTACCTGGTTTTTTGGAGCACAAGTCACCGGTGTTGGTGTCACACTCAATGCTTCCTTCTCTACTACTATCATTGATAATGTCGTCTGAGGTAAAATTGTCATAATTATAATTTTGCTGGAATTCTGATAATTTCGCTTCCTTATTATTGCTATTGTTATTGTTCAATTGCTTCTCTACAATTGGTACTACTTGGGTTTTTAATTTAATGTTGATGTCTGCAGTATGAGGTTGAGCTTGTTTAAGACCTTCTCGAAACTGCCTCGACACACTCCTAGCAGTCAGACTGTGAACCTGTAAATATACCAAAACAAAGAGGTTTGTCAAAAATAAGTAATGACTAAAAAGCCCACAAAGAAACGGCACATATATTCCATTGACAAATGCACAAGAACAATACTTATACAACTCAATGTTTAGGACACATGACATAATAAAATTATGTTCCAAACATAAATTCACACGTCCACAACAGTATTACAGACAAGTAGGCACAACAAAACCAGAATAAAAAACTGACTCTGTCCCACTGCTGCGTCCTGATCACTTTTAATTCCACCGTGCAATTGATTCCCTTTGTTTCCCACCCCGGATCTCGCCCCTCGCAGAATTGAATGCCTCAACTTTTTCAAATCTTGTTCTTCTTCATCCTTATTGAGCATAGAAGGCGTTGGTTTCGATAAAACTTCCATTGCTGTTGGACGTCTCGATGGAAGTCGAAGGCTTTGAGCACGCTCTTGTTCTTCTCTGGCTTTCTTTTCTCGCACTTGGTTTAAAAAGTCATCCTGGTCAACGGTTCTCATTCTAGGAAGAGTTTTGGATCCATCTAATGTGCCTTGATTCGCTTCTAATTGAGCTACAATATTCATAGTTTTGTTACTCGACGGTTTGTCTCGTTGGACTTCGGCCTTCTTTTCTAAATCCACGGACTTTAAGGCAGGGTTACGCGGAACAAAGTCAATTTCATCAAGGGATGAGTTCAGGGAATTCGCTAATTTCTTATTTGCAGGCTGTCCGTTCCTGGGAGGAATTTGGTTGAAAGCTTTGTACAGAGGTTGTGAAACGTTGGACTCTTTTGGAATGTCTAAATCGTCTGAATTAGTGGAATCCTCTTCTATGCTACGTCTGGTGCGAGTTTGAACTGGAAATTCTTCTTCATTTTCCAAAATTGTTGCATCTATTTGAAAATCCAAAATGTCTACGGAACTTTGTGGCGTCATCAATGGAGTGAATGATGTTGGAACGGGTGGCAAAACCATTACGACGTCCTCAGAGGGGATGAAGAACTGAGGACGGCTTTCGAAGGGTGTTTCAATCTGTTCTTCTCCAATACTTTCCCCAAAGGAATAAGAGGCTAAAGAATCGTCCACCTCGAGGGGTTCAACTTTTATTGATTCAAGCAAAAAAATCAGGTTATCAGCTGCATCGGAAACAGGAGTTCTGGGTGGCGGTGGGGTGGCTGGAATTGGTGGTGGGGTAACTGGTAACGGAGGAGGAGCGTTGTTTGTGTCATCTTCTTCATCGAGTTTAATAAGGTTGTCATCGTTGGAAATGGGAGTTACCGGGACCGAATGATATTCAGGGGTAGGAGTCATACCAATTCCACTATCAGCTCGCTCATGCGAAGTCGAAAGTTCTTCAATTTTCTTGGGTTCTGGAGTAAAATCTACTGTGTCGTCTACAATTTCCTCAGGAGTGTGATAGATTTTGACTGGAGATTGAGGAGGTTCAACATTCTTATTTTTCGTTGGAACAGTTCTAGTTGGTTGTTTGGGTATGACAAGCTCTACAATTGGCTGTGTTGGGGTTTTAAAATCATCGTCTGCAGTCAAGTCCTGATTATACACGCGTCGTGCGACTGAAATTGGTACAAGTGGAGACCTTACAACCGAGTTGCTGCTCGCCGAGAGTGCGAGATCACTTGGGCGACGTCTCGGCTTTGGCTTAAGTGATTTTTAAGTTTTAAAATGTTACCAACTTTTAAAAACCTTGCTTAAAAGTAGCGATTCACTAAAAAACAATGTATAATTACGTACGTAACAATGATAATTTTTACCTGTTGATAGCTCTTTTGTTCCCGAGGTTGAAACATTGCTTTGTGTTGTTGATGTCCATTCGATGGCTTTGGTTCTAAGATTTGCACTTTATCATCAGATGCCTGCAGAAAATTGTATGGAATTTTCAAAATACTTTTAAGATTATATACAATTGTTGAATTTGACAATATGAAATAATACCTGAAACTGCTGAGCTAATCTCTTGACGGATGGTAACTGAATTACTTTGGGCTCGACTCCTTCTCGTCGTGCGGAGCCTCCAAGATCACTGTTATAGCGACGCGGTCTAGGACTTGGAGTCCTGCTTGTGGTAACTTGTGGCGATGGGGTGCGTTCCGGACCAAGGAAATTTTTCTTGGTCGCCACTTCAATGGTTGACTTTTCCGTTGCGAGTTTTCCATTACTTGTAGTAGATGCATTCCCATTTTGCGAAATCCTCTTTTGTGGTACGGGTGATCTTGATGGCACAATTGAAATTGTTGCTTTTTCTCCGAGAATATCGGAATTTGAATGTTTCTCTAATGATGTAATACTTTCCTGAAAATTAAGGTAATTAACGCTTAATATACATACTTTAGTTTCGCATTTTTTCTAGATATTTTTGAAGTCGTGTAGCTTCAATTGATTAAATTTGCTTCAAAAATAAACTCTAAAAAAGTGTAAGGAAATTGGAAACACATTTTCATATTATTGTGCAAAAAAACATGGCATTTGTCGATTGACGTCATCCAATTATACAAACAGGGACGAATGCGTAATGCGGTTGATGGCAAATATGTATGTATGTATAATAACACGTCAATCCATAGTTTACTGTTTGCAGGTAAAATAAATATGTTCAGTATTTATCAATAATGAGTAATGGTGCAGAAACGACACACTATTCCAAGCTTATTTGGAGATGATGACCTTCAAAGTTTATCAATTCTTGGGGATCCCATCATCAGCCGCATTTTGACAGTATCGACAATCGAACAATATGTACATACATAAATATATAGACTTAAGGTTGGAACACATATATTTGCATAACGTTAGAAAAAGCGTGTGAAACCAGTGCGAGCAACTACACAATGAGTGAATGGTGCATTACAAGGAAATTAGTTTAGATTTATTTTTCAAAGCACAGAACATGATTTGTATTGTTTAGTGGATGTGAGACAGTTGGACACACAAGGAGAATGACATACATGTGCAAATGTAAATACAATATTTACAGTACAAACAGTGAAAAAGATTAATACTTAAAAGAGCAAAAAAATGAAACATGTACAGAATTATTTTTACAGAGCTACATAAGTACTGAAGAAGGAATACAGTTTTTGTTATCTTCAAAAAGTGTCCTCTAGCACAAGTACTTGTACATGTAGTATTTTACCTTCTCTTTCGACCCTTCTCTTGAAGAGTTAGAGGTCAGGGACAGACTCCGTGAGGAGCCGAAATTGGGTCCCGTCGTAGATTTTAGTCTAGATGGCTGACTCGGGGCCCCATGAACATAATAATCCCTGGAAAATCTTTAAAACAAATGCATAATTAGAAATGGCATTGAGTGGAATAATATTGCATGGCTGCATGTAGACTAAACTTACTGGCTCATATTTTGTTTCCGTTCCATGACTGGATTCTTCTCATCGTCTGACGACGTGGCCGCAATGTCTCCAGACGACCCACTAAATAAATTTTTTTAATGTGGGGATCAAATATATTAATACGCACAAATCAAATATAAAAAAATTCACACACCTAGTTGGCAAATGAAAGTTACTCTCTCTTTGGCGAATTCGTTTGGCTGTAAAATAAATGAGTGAAGAATAAATGAAATGTTGAGGAAAATTTCAAAGATAGCTTAAATCATTCTATTTAATGGTCATGCATCTTGTTTGACCATTGATTTCATACGAAAACCAAATCTTATTCCGAACAATATTGATTATAGATGGGACTTTAAAATACTTGAAGTACATAATTCACCTTCTGCACAGTAATGAACCAATAAATACTGAGGATATTCACGACGAGTTCGCGACGTTAGCAAAAACAAAGTTCACAACTTCGAAAAAAATTTTCTTGAAAATTCATTTGAAAAACTTGCGCAATTTAGTTCGCAATTAAAAAAAATAAATGGTCACTTTGTTCTGCGTATGCATAGTGTAATGATGCAATTAATTTCATCTACTATTTATCAGTCAAGTTGGGCATGTCGAATTGAAAATTATAGATTAAGATTGTATATATCCCACGGTACTATTCTGAATATCGCGATTCGTTAATAACTAAAATTGCAAAGTCGTTTTGTGACGAACCTAAATTTTCAGGTGCGTATGGATTATTTGGCAAATTTACAGGATTCATCCATTTCAATTTCTCTTTTTCTGCTACAGTCATTGTAGCCGGGTCAGTATTACGATAACTTTCACTTAAGCCAGCTTCATAATCCTCCCTGACCATTGTCTGATTCCTATTCAGAGTGTGATATTGTTCTCTCATGGTTTCTCCATTTGACGAGTCTTCAGAATCCTACAACAGATATTCAATGAATTAATCAAGTTGTTCAAGGACAAAAAATGTTATGTGTATGCACATGAAACCAATAACTTACCAAAGAAGCAGGTCTGGGAACTGTTGGTTCTGGAGATTTTCTTTGGGGCGTAGAATTAACAACTTCTTGCTTCATTATGGCTTTCTTTTCCAGATTGAGTATCCCGTCAGTCTCTTGAATCATAAAGGTCACTCTAGTCTGACCCTGACTATTTTTGGCCACTGCAACGTATTCCCCGAAAACTGGAAAATCTGTTTCTTTTTTGCGGAGGTCCAAATTCCATTGGCCAGCTCCTTTGTCCTCTAGTAATAACAATAATGTTTCATTAGCTCCCAATATGTTTTATATCTTCTTATCAAAAAAATTTATTGAGCAATCGGCATGTCAATGCCGTGCACACGAGTATGTACATTATATGCTGCATATACATCTGCACATCTGTACATATGTATGTACATCCATTATGAGACACTTGTAAAATTGAGAATTTCTATCTTTACATTACACCACCGTGTTTACACACTTGTACAGATATTTTGATGGTTGATAACATACCTAGTAATACATGTGATAGTTTGCTTATCTCCACATCATTTCTAAACACCTGTAAATATGGTTCAGGATGCCCAGTAATTTCGAATGGAATGCTGACTACTGAATCTGCCTTGTCTGTGTGTATGATATCGTCCAATACAGTGAAGTTGGGTGGTTGTGGCTTATTTTTTTGAGTGCCTAATGCATAATACATACATGCATATAATATTTCAATATGTATTGTATTGCGACGATTTTATCAGATTAATGGTTTCTCTTTACTACTGAGTTACCTTCAACAATCAACTTGTATGTGACTTTAGTTTCATTTCCTTTAAAGTCAAATAGGGAGACATCATATTTTCCAGCATCTTTTTCTTGACAGTCGTAAATATCTGAAATTTTAATAGCATTCACCATCATTCCAAGGTCAAATTATGTAAGTTGGTCTACTTCTTAACTATATATGAAAACGTCGAAATCTTGAACAACCATATACGCGGAATACTTTAAATTACTTATACTTACAGAGGTAATGCTTATCCTTTCCACTAGAATATACCCATGACTTTCCCTCACTGGACGAAATGAGATGACCACCAAAAAACCATGCCACGCCTATGGTTAAAATCCATAAATTATAGTATCGTGAAACCAAAATCAGAATACCAACAATTAACAACTTACTGAATTCTGGCGAGTCTTCAGTGACAATACATTCAAATCGAGCAGTTTTCCCTACTTTGACATTTATGTCTGATGGTTCACGGACTAATTTAACAGAGTCAATTGGTCTACTCGCAATCTTTTTTGGTTTGGGAGCTGCAGACTTTGAAACTGACGAGGAGCTGGAACGCCTGCTGGCCATGTCCAATTCTATTGAACGCCCAACTGAAGCAGAATCTCTGGATGAGATTGAAGAATTTGATAACCGGTGTGGTGCCTCCGAAGCTCGTTTACTTGTGATTATGGAAGATTGAGGAAGTGGAGCAGTTTGTTGGTTTAAAGAAATCGTCTCATTTTCTTCCGGTTTTAATACTTTTACTGCTGCCGGTGGCATTTGCAGTGCTACATCCACTACTGGATTGTGTACAATTTCTTGCTCAACTATTTCTGATGGTTCACCTTCGTCCGCTGATGAATCCAAGTCTGAATTGTTGTTGTCGTCATTGTCGTTTACATGATCGGACAAGTCAGATAGGTCAGAAATTTTATCATCGCCAATATATGGCTCAATTCCATCGTCATTTGGATTTGGCACCTACAAAGTAATTAATTAACTAATTAATTACGATTTCTGCTAGAGGAATTGATTATATAAATTACCAGCATTGGCACAGCTTCAGCCATTAAATTGCGTCTTCGAAGCAATTGCTTACGACGCTTGAACAACCAATTTTGTTCCCATTCCGAAATCTGGGAGACTAAGATTCCAGCGGCGCTTTCTTCTACCGCGTCTTCATCGTTGTCATCAGCATTTATTTTGGAGCGTGGAATAATATCCACGCCACCTTCAGGGAATGACACTTTGCTATCGAAGTGATTCAAGTCGATATCCCCCAACAATGTGTCATCTTGAATTATTGTATTGTTCGCAAGTTCAGAGTTCCTCTGACGAGCTGTTTTTCGCCCTTTCTTATTCCTGGAAGGTGGATGTCGTGAAATGTCAGAGTCGCTCTCGTACGTTGTCGTTATTTCTTCTACTTGTTCCTCGATCTACGTAGAAAATCAATACTGTGTACGCTCATGATTTACTAAGGATGGTCCCCTCATCTCCCTTATCTTTAAATTTGTACTAAATATGTATTACCACAACTTGTTGGTTTCCTTTAATATTGCCTTCGTTTGACCAGTTTGAAGAACTTGTTCCCATACTCAAGTCATCATCCGAAATATTCGGATGCTGTTGATGTGGTGTCTTCTCTAAATTGGTGACCCAACCTCGAACATCTTCTATTGAAAAATTAATCAAAATCAATGGATTGTAATTCTTTTTTTTACAAATATCTGGGTACGAATGACAATCTGATCAATTCTTACTATATTGGCGTCTATGCGAATTCTGTAAGTCACTCCCCTCACTCATTTCTGAATCTGTTTGCACAGCAGAATCCACCAAGCTCATGGGAGAATCCGCTTTTCTCCGTAGTTTCTGCCCATTCGTAATGGCTTTATTAATGACTGCGGTAGCAACCTATAAGACCAAGAGTGACGATGAGTTATGAAGACGACCAAATAATATTTTTCAATTATGCCTACCAAATCTTCATAAGACGGTTGGACAGACTTTGCAAAGTTCTGCGACATGACCACGGCAGCCTCAGTCTTGTTCATTGGCTCCATGAGTGGGAGTTCCATCGTCACTTCTTTTATGTCACCGAGTAAATCGGTTAGCACGGTGTGTGCCGACGTTGCTGATGTCGTATCGTTCATTGGCATTGGTTTATCTATGCATATTAAATATTATGCCAGTTGAGTCGATTTGATACAATTTGTCATCTCAGACTGAGATTCTCAGTATTAGATATTTTCTGTCTTACTTTCAATCGCAAGTTTCAAAGAATAAGAAAGGTTGACTAGTGCATCGCTTAATTCTTCATGAAATCGGTGGAACACCAAGTCATCTAAAGAACAACTTTATTATTATCACTTAACGGACATCATATGAATGTTAGATTGTTTACTTCTTCCAATGAGGAAGTCATAAAGTATGTGCATTTCATTTTGTAAAATATTTTGTGTGAGGATTTGTGGAATATTGGTCACGGTTAGTTTACTGCAGTCAAAAGAAAGAGAGGACACTTACATTGGGGATGATCAAAAATTCTTGCCAACGAAACAGCGTCGATTCCTTCATCAACGTGTGATTCGACGATTCTTTCGAGATGTTCCCTCACATTTTCTGTCACTTTGTCTCGCTCTGTGACCACACCACACAAATACATGAATGAGTATCATCACATTTCATCCTTTACAACTCTAGGATTTTTTTCAACAAAGCTCATGCTATAAAAAGATTCAAACATGTTGGCAGCAGTCACATCAAAATTAATTGTTTGCGAGAGAAATGCATTTTATGTACATTCTAAGCTTCAGACCACAACTTTACATTGTCAATGACATAGATGGAGAAATGCTTAAATAAATCTTGACATTAATTATAGCAAAGGTAAATTTAAGCATATGTACATACCTGCAGTGGCAAAATTTGTCCCAGGCTCAACGCCTAAAGATATGTTGTCAAACCAAAAGTTCTTCCTTTTGTCAATTGACCTAGATGACGAATCAAACCAAATCAAATTATTAAAAAGTCCATCTCTTGCTTCCTCTTGTCTCGCCATCAGAATTCCTTATCATTCAAATTAAAATAATATATTAAGCACGGTGAAATGACTCTGCACGTTGCACCTTCTCCCACTTCACCGCAGCCAGTAGTGCAAACATAAAAGAGATGTGAAATTTTTTTAAATTGGAAACCTCGAATGTTACATTTATGTTATATGAACATTTATTTTGGGTAGAATAATACTCATCCTACACGTGCATAACATTGGACATACTTTCAATTTAACAATAATAACACTGTTTCTTCGAATGATGACTGAATGAAATTCTGATCAATTTAATCTTGAATTTTCAATGATGCAAACCAAAGATTTTTAGCATCGATATATAAAATTCATAGGATTTCTTTACCTTAATAATAATTTTGGCGGATGACAGTGACCACAAGAGTATGAATTTTTGGATTGGTCCCAAACAGCACAGGTCTTGCACACTTTAAGGGCACAAACTGAGCAGGCTACAGGCGCGGTGATCATCCATTTCAGTCCTTTACTCGTGGTGGGCAGCTTCTTGTTGCAACGGATGCAGTGCGTGTTTGACCCATCCGACTTGACGCTGGTCTCCGTTGAATGAAGTCCCTTGGTCTGACCTTCTTTCTCCAAGCGACTAAAAAAATCAACCACCAAAAATCAGGTTTAGGTCTCAAATGTTTATTTTATCTTAACAGTTTTCTGTTATTATTTATTATGCAAGTAGCCGCAAGAAATACTTTGATGTGAAAATCAAGTCATGTTGGATGCAGTGTCAGAGATAATAAACATCCACGTTCGTTCGTAGCATCGTGACAAATAACTTAGCATAAATTTTTAGTCGGTCATCGCCTCGAGCTCAATATAGACATTGTAAATTCAGATTTATCAGACAATGTGAGATCTCAACACCCGCCTATCATCTTTCTTCATTTGCATATAATAAAAAATATCATACCTCAAAACATTCATAACTATAGTCGCACGGAGGTGTTTAAAAAAATGAGTAATGTCTCTTATACTGGTTCACATCTACATTAATTAATCATAAATAAGCTGGGATTTGTATCCTGATATGAGTGAGGATAGTAATTGAACTACTACACGGCACATGTAAAAGTATATACATGCTCATGTATATATATATTACATCCGTATATTTGTAGTAGTTGCATAAGATCCGAGTCTAAGTTATTAAGTAAATTGAAGTCCAAAAAGTCCCGTTTGACAAATGGTGCTGTACTGACATTGTACAACTTGGTGAGGCTTGCTGTATAAAATAATATGCGAAAACTCGTTTCATCCTATGCAATGAATGGTAACGGTTGAACCGGTCTGCAGCAATAAGATAACGACAATAACGAAGAAACAATGCAGTATGATTGAGGGGGAGGAAGAACACGATTATCCTGACACCTATTTCTAACCAGGGAAGTTTTGATATCTATTGTGGTTATCATCAATAATAGCACATGCCTTAATATAACCATCAATATGACAAGTCTCATCTCATCATAAAATCTAATAAGGTCGAAAATGAACCAAGTGTTTAGATACCTTGCGAACCAACGAAACCACGGGATTGAACTTGAACTACCAAAATCACTTCTGCTATTGCAGCTAGACAGTCGAGACTGTGACGAATATTTGCGAATAACTACGTCTTCATTTTCTCCATTCGTATAACCATAAGAGGTCAAGTTCACACAACTATTGCTTGTGTGTCGCTGATTTGCGATAAGGTGTGGAGGTCCAAGCTTATGGTGTTCGCTAGACGAAATTATCCAACGGGGTCCATTCTGTTCAGGAAAATTATTTCCCTGATTTTCATATGAAGTAGCATCATTGTTTTGACGCAATATTAATGATTTCCTTGGTTTAGGAACGGGTGGCTGTAAATACTGAACTTGAGGTGGGAGAGTTTTGTTAGGAAGTAAATAATGATGATAATTATTATTATTAACAAAGCCGCTCCCTGGTTGTGGCAAAAAATGATTCGGACGGTGACTCGGAAAATTGGTTGGAGGAAAAGAACCCCGATTATTATTGTAAAAATGCCTTGGTTGTTGGGGACAATTTTGGGACCGTGGTGGTGGAGGTTGATGATGATGAGGGTGATTTATACTTTGCGGCGTTTGCCCAGAAGGACGACTAAGCAATCGTGGAGGAGGTGGATAAGCATCGTTGCGGATTTGTTGATAATGTGGAGGTGGAATTCGAGGAGAAGGGGGATGATGATAACTCATCCCATCTGGGGGACTATGTGAAAAATGTCGAGGTGGATGAGCATATGTGGATGGTCGAAATATTAGCTTCTTTCCCGGATAGGGTGGAGCAGTGCCATGCAGTTGGAAATTTTGAAGGTGTGGATTTTGTGCGTATCCATAAGAAATTCGTTCCTGAGGAAGCGTTCTGGGTACAGTGACCACACGTTGATATTGTGGTTGATGCTCCACTTGTTGTGTTCTTGGAGACGGATTTCGGCTCCCTGCTTGGAAATCTCTAGCGTCGTCGGATAGCTTTTCTTGCATTTCGTCCTCAGTTGGTGATATCACGAATCCAGGAGTGTGAGAGCCTGCCACTGACGCAGCGACGATTGGAATTGGGTTGACGAAGCTCGTTGAAGAAGATCCATTAAATTCCTTCAATGACTTTGATGGCTTTTTTCGCATGAAGAGCCATTTTAGGCCGGCCCCTGCTGCGCTCAGCGTCTTATTACCGGGCGATGAAACTCGCTCCAATTTGAGGTTGAATTTGCTTCCCCCCTCCGAAGCCCCTGATGATACCGTTCTGCTTCGTCTCATCTCCTTGGATTCCTTTCCTTTCTTCCCTTTTTTGTCCAGGATTGGAGACATCTTTTCGGCTAAAATCGTATACGTTTGTGATTAATTATTCACCAGATTCGACGTGTGGTGGGTGGTTCAACGATCCAAGTCGACCTTAGTCTTAACCAAGGTGGTTTCATGGCTTCTGGTATCCTTCATATTGGCAGATGGATTGAGTTCACGTCGAAATGTTGGTTTTGAGTTTTTGAGAACGTGTGTGTTATGTGTATTTGCCGAGTATGTATGTGTATGGGGTCAACTTCACAAGGTTTTTCAAATATAAATGAACTAAATCGTAGAGAATCGTTGTGATGGCGTCAATAAAGTTGTTGGCTTGCATCGAATCCCAAACTGATCAGACTCAACCCCAAACAGATAAAACATCTTCCGTCAATGACTGCCAATGAAAAGTTGAAGTACGACGAAACAGAAGTATGAAAACCGCAAACTTTTTCAATATTTGCTCAATTTACAAGTAACACAATGTACAAAAGTATGTTTTGTATTGACACTGAACCAAATTCCAATTAAAGCACGCACATGTGCAAATTATGAAAACAAGTTAAATATTTCACTTAAGAAAATCAAACAAAGTCATAAACGATAACTTTCCCAATCTAACTTTTCGTCGCAATACTCGAAATTAACTTTTGTGCGATTTCACAAAAGCATTTTTTCTACCACAACTGCTCCTGATGATTGTAAAATCCTTGATTGTTTTTACAAAAATAGAATCCATCTCACAAACAAATACAAATCCAGAGTAAAAATTGTCCTGTACATAAAATATTTAAGTATTACAATTTAAGTTTTAGTAGTTTAAGTTCTAGCGTCTGCGTTGCTCTCGACTTGCCGATGATAGAAAGTGTTTTATGCAAGCTCCAACAAAAACTTGTCGTGTTGCTTTACTTTGCTGGTTGCTTCACGTAAATTTATTTGGTTGAAGGACTCCGGAAGTTTGTTTTTTAGCAGGGGAAAAACTAGCATTGTTTTCATCAACGTCCAACAACTTCAACCCCATAGATGGAAAATATCTCATGCATACACATTTCGCCTCTGCTGCATTGACACCCCTTTTAAAACTGCGAGGAGAGATGACACTTATTGACTGTATTTATTCCTCGAAACACAATTTTAACTACATCAACAGTAAAATATTTGTACATGTACATATGTAGATGATACTATTATCATACTATTATTGTCATTCGTGGCAATCAACTGCACCATTGTACAAACAACAAATGTCAACTCCTCCCAAATTAGAATAAAATTCATCCACTTTTTAAGGTATGTATCTGTGCTCAAGTTTTTAAGCAGTATTTTATTTTTATTAGAGATGGGTGAGCCTCGCAGCTCACTCGGCTGGAACGGTTGTGAAGGCACTGGAGATGATTACTTTTTTCTTAATTTGGTGGCATGCACCTGCTGCTGTCCCAACCCACTGAACAGTGGCCACTAATTTAATTTAATTTTTCAGAGGAAGTTGACCTCTTTACTGAAATTGGATATATTCGCACTTGATGGGCAGCAAGAGGGAAAAAAAACTACTGAAGAGACGTTATTCAAATCTGTGAGAATGTCAACTCATTTGGCTCACAATGCACTGATTACTGTGGGCGAGGGTTGATATTTTAAGGGATCAAGCAACGTATTGTTTCTCTGAAAGTATGTATTGCAACAATGCGAGTGAATAAATACGTTGTTCATGTCGTAAGATACTCCTATGGTCTTGCCGTATGTATCAAATTGAAACATCTCGACATTAGTATGGCAATGCAGTAAGCAATGGTTTTAATTTTATTTTGATACACAGACCTTAATCCTGCAGACCTCCGTAGTCATTGATACGCATTCATGTGTCATGCAATGATCTGGTCTTGTAATGCAATATGAACTCGTTAATTATGTTGAGTAATTCGCAAACGTTGTGAATCGTTGTATATCTGTACGAATGGATTCCTGTGCAACAGCACAATATAATTACCCAGAATTTAGTTTTGGAACTTAATAGCATTGGAGTTAAACGTTTATGGGAAATCAACTGCCTTTAAATTGCCAATCGGAAATCTAAATCGTTGTAATGGAAAAATCTACCCGTGAATTTAAAAGCCACTTATGACCTAGTAACAGAAATTTGTTTCATCTACCATGATTTGATCATTATTGTTTATTACCGATTGTTTTTGCCCAATGTTTGCATGATCTTCATCTGTTTCATGACTCTGACACATAAAATTTGTAAATACGTCAAGTTTCATTGCAGCATTGACAATTGGGGATTGGTAAAGGTGAGCGAAATAGAGTATTTTGCTCTACAGGTTAATTAGATGTATAATTCCATCATTATTGCCCCATCTATCTAACAAATGCCAACAATAGCAACCAAAAGAGTAACAAGGCTATACTCTACATACGCAACATTTAACATTAGCATTATGCATTACGTGTGCATCTATACGTATTTATTATTAGGTTGGCACGGTTGTTGCTTGTGATCTGTATCTCCATAAAATAAAAATGCCATGTTCACCATCATAAAACTTGTGAGGAGCATCAAACAAAGTGCGCGTTTAAGTGTTGCTAAAATCTCGATAGATAGGCGTACGACATGTCACGGCATAAATAGCTACAGAAATACAGAATATTGATGATAATTATTGTACTAACTTATGAGCATCTTAATTCAGTTTGCAACGTGAATCTCAACTAATCATACTCCTGATTCGTGAATTTTTAATTTGGTCATTAATTCCACATACCACTAACTAAGAAGTTTGTTACACAGCTTGGATTTATCGATCCAAGAGTGATACAAATTAATTTATGGATTGTAAGCAGATTAATTTACTAAGGCAGACAAGTGACGCCGTAAGAAATTCAGATTCTGAAGTTATGATTATGCTACTAAAAATATAACTATGCAAAATCTAAGTTCAACAAAAATAAATATGCATTTCAATATTTCATTCACATAATGTCTAAAATCTAACCATAATGTTACATCGTCAAATGTTTAATAAATCCTTCTTCCGAAAAAAAGAGTTTGGTTTATGATACATGTGCCTCAAAATATACTTTTTACATGCACCGTTGTTAAAAAATATTTTACGACCAATAAAAACGTAACTTTTCTTTCAATTAGGTGTTAATATGGTGCTTGAGTTGTGTTAATTTTAATAGCTGTAATTAATTAGCTGTGTTAATTAATATAGCTTTTATTCTCTCTGCAAATCAATATTTTCTGCACTTTCTTATCGTCTGTGCACGTAAAGCAGTGATCAACCCTTGCTTGCAATTTGTAACTAAATAATACCTGAATGCACTTTCTTAAAAAATGCTTCTTGTAAGACTCGCACGGATGCATTGCAGCATGAAAATGTGACTATTTTGATATGAAGAAAGTTTCATTAAAGTAGTAAAAATTATAAAACGATGAGGTTATTATTACCCAGACTCATCGCTGCTGCGATGAGTGCAACTGATCGCCATCGCACTTTTGCTTTTCTCATTACTCTCAGGTTTGCAGACAAAGGTAACATCTTGATTCTGGTCTTGATTAAAATTGGAAAATAATGATGGAACACAGCCTAGTTTTCTATGCCTTGTAGTCTTACTTGTAGTGGTTGTGGTAATAATAGTTCTAATTACGGTACACATCGTAATAATTAACACAAAACGAAGTACATAAAATAAACACCAATCATCCAGTTATTCACAAAATTGAAAAGTAGAAACTTTTAATTTAATTAATGCAGATCAATCAGAACTGTATTAAAAAATCAAACGACCAGAAAAATAATTTCATGTGGGAACAAATTATCTGTCTCACTATTTTACCACTTCACTTGCAGTATACTTTGAGAAGCAGGTTGAAGTTGGAGAAGTGTCTGACAAAGCTAGATTTACAGGATGATGGAAACTATGATACATCCGACATTCAAAGTATTATTTTATACTTCATGAAATGAATTCTAGTTGTATATATTCATGAAATGTGTGGTAATGCATACCTACCTACATACAAATATAGTAGTCCACATGCATGTACCTTGCTGCATATATTTAACGTGGTACATATACAAAGGACAGGAATTGCCCATAGTCGGATTAAGTTGGCCGGACATTAACTTTTTGCATTTAAATCTTATCGTCACTTCCCAACAAACAATTTCCTATACGCCACGTTATTGTAAGTTCACTATCATGAAACGGAGGTGAACAACGTTATGCAGGTAGTTTAACGACTGTGTGACTATAGCTCACATCTCAATTTTCAACGTAACTATGTAAATCTGGCAGGCACAATAGGAGGATGTTACATATTGATATGATCGCATAGTGGACTTAAAACGCTACATGTAACTTTGCGCATAAATAGATGAGACCTAATGAAATGTTCCGCTGGTGGTACATGCCACTTTAATTAAGCACGCTTTTCAGTTGTCCAAAACTCTGAAATTTCGAATTTCACTCCTTGCTATTGCAATTTTCATGCTTAGAAACCTGTGGCAGGACTATTTTTGCGCATGCATGTGTTCACAGCAATGGAAAAATAATTCTGGTTGAAACATATGTACATGTGCACTAGTCGTTTCTGATGTTAAAGATTTTGGATTAAGAAATTATACAAATAAAAATATACATGGTTTTACTAACTACATATTTGTGTGTTATAAATAAATACCCCGGAACACTCGTTAAAAAAGTATGCAGCAAAATTGGAAGCATGGCAAATTGTATCAATTTCATAAACTTACGTTTGCTGCTGAATGAGTTATTTCATTCGACATTCCATTCACAAATTAAAGCGTCCATCGCGCAATATATTTTGCAATGCTGTCAGAGTCCAAATTTTGCTTTGTTATCATCAATATCTCTCCATTCAATTGAGCAACAGAAAATCGTACATACGGGAACGGACAACTTTTAATTTAATCACCGCATCCAACACAGGACATATGCGACACAATTTATCTGTAGTGACCGCACAACCAGAACTTTGATAATTGGATGGCCGATTTAATTAAATTGCACAATATGTAAACATCACCGAAAAATGTTTGATTTGATGATTCTACTTTCAGCAAAATAGTTGAATCTCTGTTCACTGAGGAAGTTATGCCTGTCACACAAAACTGAGCAAAGCACGTAATCAGTGATTAAATTACCACCTAGTCAACCGTTACGGAATGTGGGTTATGAAAACCGCTCAAGTATTACGATATTTACATCATTATGCGTTTTGGAGTAAAAGTTTATAGACACCGTCAGTACATATGCATAATCCTACTTGTTATTAGCATTCACGGTTCTTTCCCTTGCATTACTTAATCCCACACACTTTTTTTGCACAGCTCACACAATCACATTACATGGTGGTAACTCACTCTCACATATCACTTTTGAGGACATAAAATATATGCAAATTTTCAGCCAGTTAAATAGTGCTCAGAGGTATGTAGTCCGGCTTATGTTCAAGTCGATATCAACTTTATGACCAGTTGACAAATATGAAAACTACAATTAAATGACGCTGGATTTAGTTCGTAAAAATTCCAATCCCTTAATACTCGAGATTAGTAAATTTTCCACCCTCACAAAACTTATTATTTGCTGGATGTATGCTGGATGTACTTTTTCACTAAAAATTAAATTAGCAAGCCTAGAATTGTACTCGTCTTCCCTCCATTCAATGAATGGTGAAGTAAGCCAGAGACTTACCAAGTCTTTTCCTTCCGAGGTGGACAAATGAGACAGGTGTGCAACTAGAGTCAAACTAAACCGAACTCGTTGGTGTTTTATACGAGTGTAAAGAACCTCAGGCTAATAAGAAGAGCTCAATAATGTATGAAATGGTGTACAGGAATTTCTTACAGGAGACCAACAACCAGACTCTTGAGACGACCAGTGAATTTTTTGTACCTGAGAGGTGCACTGCATATGTACTGCCATCAGCACAGCCAAGTTTGTTGGTCTTCCTAAGTGTTGCGGTATAAGTAAGTACATCCGTGTAGTGG